CTGCCTACCTTTGTACAAAGAGAATCCAGTAGAACTTTTTATCTCCTACTAGGAGTGGGTGACAATAGTTGAATAAACTTATGGCTCTCAAAATGGTATCGGTGCCCTATTTGTTGGTACTCGCCGATACCGATAACACCATTTTAGGGCAGTATTGGGGCCCCGTCCGTTACTGGTATCGGTATCGGTGCAACACTACTTGTAATGCCATGCCAATCCAGACCTAAATTAAAAAAATATTTGAACTACAATGTTTAAAAATATTCTAATAGATAGAAATAAAAACTATGAGAGAAAAATATTCAAAGATCTATGTACCTTTTCATCTGAGTCTTTATCCAAAAATAAACAGCATGCAGTTAAATACTTGCTTTGGATATAATTTAGGAATTTCTTTTGGTTGAAACTAAAGAAGGTTTTGCATCACCTCTTGTGAGCTGGAATAAATAATAATTTTACTAGTTAAACAAGGATTTTTTAGGCTTGGAAGAGGATTAACAAGGGTAGGAAGAGCCATGCTCCTGAGAGCAAACCATCAGTTTGCAGCGTGAAGCACAGACTCTGAGATAAGCGCTCGCAAAGATGCATTTCTGTACAAGCACACATGGAAGAGCAGAGTTTGTCAGCGTTCAATGCGCAGTACCGGACCATTCCAGCCTACTTTCTCCCCTGACGCTGCTGCTATGATACATCTGTTTTTTATTTAGTCTTTATTTAGTCTCGTCAACGAAAACTCACACCCATGAGCTAACCCATGAGTTAGCTTGTCTGTTATCGTTATTGTCATGGAAGTTGGTTCAACAAAATAATTTCGTCATCATCATCATCATCGTTGACGAAAACAACTCAATACTGTGTAATCAACACAATACAAATTTAGGACATTCTACAGAATCTGCCTTTGTATTCTTTCAATTGTTGAAGTTTTATAAGTTCTTTCTAATAATGACCTTACAGACGGCTTTCTTAGGCATAAAAAACATCCGCTCTCAAAGAAAGTGCTTTATGATTAGGGGTGGGTATTGCCAAAGAAGTCACGATTCGATTCGAATCACGATTCACAGGCCACGATGCGATTCTATCACGATGCATCACGATACTTGAATTATTGCGATGCATTGCAATATTTTCTCCTCCATGTTTTGTTTTTGAATGACTCGGCACAGTATCCCGCGGCCGGAAATGCTTGTGACACAAGGCAGCGTGCGTCAACACATTTGCAGCGACATCTACTGGACTGGAAGTTGTATTACACTTGTTTTTGGCTGATGTTCGCCAACCATTCATGCAATTTTATTTATTCATTTTTTTAAATTAATAATCGATTCTTGGCATCAAGAATCGATGCAGTAGATCACGAAAATTAGAATCACGATGCATCATCATCACGATTATTTTGCACACCCCTATTTATGATTGTGCTAGGGCATCGGTTATTTTAGATCAGGAGTCACCAACGCGGTGCCCATGGGCACCAAGGTGCCCTCCATGACCACATGGGGGGCCCTCAGAGTCTTCTAAATAAAGAACAACCCACCAGTGGGCTAAGTTTGAAATTTTATTCTGTTGCTCTTCTTTTTAATCATTTATAGAGATTTCAAAATGACAATGTCTAAATAAACTTAGAAATTAACAGAAACAATAAAAATATGTTGATAATGAACAAAAGTTTAGGCTAACGCTAACCCTTGCAGCTCATGGGACAGCAATGGTTGCCCTTCCTACGTCTCGGTACCCTTGAATTGTCCTTAGCCTTAAAAAGGTTGGTGACCCCTGTTTTAGATGATGCAAAATAATTTTTTGTTTTACAGAATATACTGTAAGGCTGTTTTCCAGGAGGCATGCCACTGCAGCGCCCCAATATTTAGTCTTTAGTGACTCAAGTTCATAATGGAGTGGTGATCGCTGTGATCGGTTCATTTTTCCCTACATGACAGAGGGAAAATCAGCTGAGAAGGAATTCATCAAGGTTATTTTTACTCTGCGCAGCGAGGCCAGTTGCTGTGGTGTTACCCATTGGCACAGTTGCTGTGCTGGCATCCCGGTGCTGGGTGTGGTGCGGTGCGTGACGAGGGTCGCCCATAGATCCACTTCTGTGACTCATATCCTCAGAGCTCTGCTGCCCTAAATCTGAACAGGCTTTAACCCACCCACATACATGCAAACACATTTGAAGCATCCCACATTGCTCTCTGAGCATTAAAAAAGATAGATAAGTCTGTTTTTTCCTTCGTGACGAAGAATATTTCTGGTCATTTGGGATTATTTGACTGTTGACGTCCATTACTTGATTCTTTTGCACATCCTAACTTACCTGACCATCTGTTCCTGGTGGGGCTTTAAGAGATCAGGAAGTCTTTGTATGTGGTGTGATTTTAACGACAACAGGATGCAGGATGTGTAATGGTACTAGCAGGTAATTTGTAGCGCTTTATGCTCTTCATTGTGAGAACCTGCTGTGTTTTTGGTTAAAAACGTTAATGGAGTTGCCTGTGGAGCTGTAATTAAGTTAGATCGGAGGAGGAAGAGGAGGAGTAGGAAAGTAGGTCAATGGGCCAGCAGGTCAGTGAATCACAGATGACATCATGGTTATACAAGCCCTGCTCTTCTAGTTGCACAACACTCGCTCAGCAGTGAAAAGATTGCTGAAAAGAATGTTTAAAATTCTACTAGCATCCCTTTTTTTTTTTATCTCAGGTCACCTCTGATTTATATGATTTTCATCCATGTAAGTTTGTTCGTTTATTTTTGTGATGTTTTTTGATCTAGTCAGCTTGGCTGCTTTTACTCTGAGTCGCTTTAAAATTAAAGCCAAGAGCTGCTTGCTTCTGTTTGCAGGAGAACCTGATTTCATAGATATTTTTATGACCTTTTCTTGTTATGGTTTTACTGTGTTTTTTGTTGACAGAGCAGTTCTAGGATAAGTTTCTCACAATCTGTGCCAACAGTCATGTTATGTTTAGCAAAGCTGTGTACCTAAAATACATTTTTCTCTCTTTTGTCTCTCCTGATTGTCACTTTTCTTTCTTGTACAGTTCTGGGAGTTCTTGAATCCTCACAGACTTTTCAGATCTTAAAACTGGTTTTGATACAGGATTAAGATGGCCTGAATAAATATTTAAGCAGTTTTCACACTATGAAAAGAGCAATCCAACCAGACTTTGTGGAAGACAGTAATTTCCTGCTTTGCTGACTTGTTAATTAGCTTTAATGAAACTACATTCTTAGGACGCTGAGCAAGATTTTTCAAGTCATTGATAATTACCTGGCCTGCAGACATGTTAAATAATTTAAAAAGAGCCTCTTTGGTGGCCTGAAAAGTGCAATACAACAGAAAAAAATATATGTCTTTTCAGTTTTGGAATGGGTCACAAAGCCATTTCTAAGACTTAGAAACTCCAGTGAACCAAGCTGAGAGCTGAAATCTGCAACCACCCAGAAGGTCAAAAAAAAAACAACGGGAACAAAATCTAAAGTACTTTAGATCTGCCTCTCGTCAGCTGATATCGGTGTTTAAGATTTAAAGAAAAGGAAAAGATGGGGCCAAAAATGGCATCCACAGGAGACTTCTGATACCAGAACTACTGACAGGCTTGAACTAAAAATGAATTTTATTTCCTTTGGCACCTTTATTTTACTTTTTCTATTCATCTACATCAGAATGCAGAGATCCTTGCTTTGATGCAGCACATAGGAGAGAGAGCAATATCAATTTTGGCAAGTCAAAAAATTATTAAAACCCTAAATATGTTTAAAACTATGAATTGACTCTTAGAAATAATTTCAAAAATCCCCTAATCCAAAACTACATAAATCAGTTTAGTTAGGTTATTAAATGTCACTTAATTTTACAGTTGGCTGAGGCAAACACTGAATGAAACGAATAAGTGACTATGAATAAAATGGGATCAATTTTAGATCAACATTTTCAGAGACAAAAGCGAAAACATTAGCCTTTTAGGGTAATTATATTTTCATTTTAATTAAAGTCTCATTTTCTCATCTAGGGGGATCAGTGGAAGCTTTTAAAGACTTTCATCATGTCGCTTTCTTAGCTTTATTGTAAATATTAGAATGTATTGTGACTGTTTTTCACTGTGTGTATTCACTCTGTCTGTTTCTGGAACCAAAATACATACATAAATCAAAAGAAGTGTAACTAAATATTCAGAGGTGGGTAATTAAATCAGGGTTAATGAGATGATACAGATTGTTGGGATCTCAGTCAATTAAAAAGGTTGAGATTAGTAATTACATTATCAGGCTTTAAATTTTATTTCAAATATTGACATTTTCTCTTCTGCTATTTTTAGTCTCTTCATTTAGGCAGTTCCTCCTCTTGAATCATGGGCAGAATTATCTTTGTTTTTAAAACATTGCTCCACAGATGCAAACACTTAGTGACCAGCTGCCGTTTATATATGAGTCTCTCAGGTTATTATTTTCCCGTCACAAAAATAACATGGTCTCCATCAATCCATGGTTATACTGTAGGCTAATCTTTCTGTTTTCCACAAGTATTTGAAGACTTGCACTAGATCTTTTGCTTCTACAAGCAAACTTTGAGAGATTATAGAGTGATGTCCAAATTATTCTTCCAAATTATTCTTACCCCTGGCAGATTGAGATGAATGCTTACCAAAGATTTTTGCTATTGATAGGGAATTAGAAATGTGTCCTTTTTTTCAAGTTCCACTTTATTATAGATTTTTTTTTTAATTATTGCACACCCATTATTACTGATTGCTGCTGCTTTACTGCAAAATAAATAAAGCTTTGAGAAAGAGAAGGCGAGACATGTTATAATTGAATTAAACTACTCTCTATTTATACTATGGTTAAATTTTTTATTCCTAAAACATTCAGCTTACTTTCAGGCTCTATTTTATTTTATAAAGTTAATATATTTTCCAAATCTGTCACACCCGACCATCAGCTGTTGTATATCTTCTTGGAGTTTATGTCTGGCCTCATGTATGGTCTGTCTTTCTCTCTTCTAGAAACAGATGTTGCTGCCATGTTCAACACTGGCATCCAAAGGAGAGCAGAAACTCATCTGACTGAAGACCTTTTGCACACTTTCAGCTCCCTCATTGTAGAAACGTTCAGTGACTCTCCTCCTAGACTGAAGTCCAACATCAACCACTGCTCTAGCCCACCCACTGAGACCTTCCACTCATCCAAACACGCTTTCCTCTCACTGGACTGGCTTTATTTTTGGTGAGGACATGATTGTGCTATGTGTTGATGTGATATATTTGGCAACGGCTTTAAATATTTAAGGTGAGGCTTTAAAGGGTTTTATTTCTCTATCTTTTTAAGGTTCATCCACAAATGTCTACCTCACGAATAAAAGACTACACTCCAACTCGACAACCTTGAACAGGCTTCAACATGAGCTCCATTGATCGGTGAGATATTTTCTACACTGCCATAATGAAATAGAAAGAAAGAAAAATTTCTTAGATTACCCTTAATTTGAGTAGGAAAATAAGATGATCTGCCTATGGAGTGAGTTTTTTTTATATAATTGGATAATTTTCACTTGAAATAAAAAAATGCAATTATTTTTCTTGTTTTAAATTGTCTTTTTCAATTGGCAAAGTGTCTCGCTTACCTCCTCAATTCAAGAAAAAATAAAATACCTCAGTTTGTATTATTTTCAAAGTTGTTTTATAGTTTGTTTATGCAGCACTTTATAACAATCCAGTCAGGTGCACAAAGTGCTTTAAAAGCTGATATAAAACAAAAAGATGCAGAGACAAAATAGATAAAGTATAAAGACGTATAGAAAAATAAGAAGATAAAACATATTCAAAACAGATTTATATAAATAGAAATTAAACAATAGAATAAACAAAGGAAGACGTTATCCACAGTTAAACAGCTACAAATGAAAGGTCTGTCTGAATAGATGTGATTTTAGCTGGATTTAAAAACTCCAAGTTCAGTGAAGGATCATAGCTCTGGGGTAAAGTGATCCTCAGCTTAAGAGCAATAACAGCAAAAGAACAGCCACCTCGTCCTTGAGACAAGCATGGTTATGGACTCTGATTGTGGTGAACAGTTAAAAGTTCAGACAGATATGCTGAAACAGCATAACTTTAAAGTCTATTCTAACGCAAACTGGGAGCCAATGGAGAGAGGAGAGAATGGGGGTAAATTGGGCGTGTTTATGAACATTTGAAAGAAACTAAGCAGCTCTGTTTTGAATTAGTTGAAAGTTAAAGACGATGGACTGGCTTATTTCTGTATACAGAGCATTACTGTAGCCGAGCCTTAAACTATGGAGATAAAAATGGTTTGCTTTTGATCAAATTCTTAGCTGAAAAAAGTCCGTCTAAAGACGTACCTTCAAAAACATAATTATTTTTCATATTTGTTATGTATATGTATCGGCGATGTTGTTGATATCTTGTTCGTGTTCCAGTGCAGATAGTTGGTCCCTTCCCTGAGATCAGAGCATCATTTGTTGTTTCAACAAGGTTACCAAAATAATATTTATCATATGTACAGTATAGTGATTACTGAGCTGAAATTAATAGAAACAGAAAACAACAACCTTAGATTGCTTTAAAGGGAGACCCCCTAATGACTCTGTACTGCATATCTCACCTAATGTCCTCTGTCTTCTAAGATCCACATGTGAATCCAAACTCTGGGCTCATAAACTTATCTGATCTGTGCAGATGAGACTTTTGTATTTAATGTGGTCATCAGTGTATGTAGAACTGTAGGATGTGCACAGAATATTAGAAAACTAAAATATTAACAATGATAGCTGTGTTATTGTGCCCAATGTCAACTGAAACACCTTATTTAGGCTTCTGTTAATTTTAGTGTTTAAATTGGTGTTTTGTTCACTGTTTAGAGATGACAACAGCATTTTTGATGGGTTAATGGAAGAAGATGAAAAGGACAAAGCCAAACGGTAAAACTCCATCACACTACTGTGTTTCATCCTGTCTAGTGAATAGCTCTGGTTAAGGGTTGCCAAAGTGACAGACATTGTTTGTCTGTCGTTTTGTAAAATTTGATATACATAATTAGTAAAATAGATATACATATATTTAAAATAAAAAGACAATAAGATCTCTTATTTTCCTACAGAAATGAATAGCTGGAAAAGAAAAATACATTATTGAGTTAAGCAGCCAGTAGGCATTTCTTAGTACATTGTCCTTCATACATTTCTACAAACTTGTGTCTAATTCAATCCATATTTAATAAATGAATAAATACCTAAGCATGCTTAAGGATTAAATATTCTCCTAAACTACAGAGAAACACAATTAAAAAGATAAATGGAGAAACCACTAAAATAGAGGAATAGTATACCCCCCATGTAATAAACATTTGTTACATAATCGTAAGAGCAGGAACATTTTGTATCATCAGCAAATTCTTTAGCTCTCAATCTTTCTTTAAAGACGAACATTATTTCTAGCAGTTTTTTTTTCATTATTTTGTCACTCTCTCAACAGTACACTCCTATTTCTAAGTCTGGAACAAATGTATATTTTCACCTGGGGACACAGCGCACCAAGTTACACATTGGAATGTTTACTTAGCATTAGCTCTTGGCAATTGTTAGCTGTTGCTGAGGATGGCTTAGGTTATTTCCTTTTGTATGTAGGAAAAAACATCTTCATCAAGATTAAACCATCTGCAATTATAGTATCCACAGTACAGCTTTGCTAAGTACTTGGTGTTTGTTTTTTGGGTGGTTAAATATCCCTGCTGTCATTTACAGTTCAAAGTCTTCCTCTCTTATCTACAGACCTGTTTGAGATGATTCTTATGAGAAAATTTATTACCAGTAACGACTGGATTACAGAGATCTGAAACTCTTTTTTTAAACACCCAGAATGTTTATTTTAAATTGGAGTAATATTATTTTGGATAGCTGAAAGTAACAGCCCAATACACATGAATGGGGAAAAGTGACATAATTTGTATGAATTACATTTCAAATATCTGAGATTTTCATTTTAGATAGGAAGAATACTATTTAAGATCTGAAATACAGATGCAAATGTTTGTAAAAACGGCCACTGGAAATAAGTAAAGATTTGTAGATATCTGAAATGTAGTTCTTACTAGTAGAAATGTTATATCAGATTACTTAAAAGGTATTTTCTACTGGCAAAAATGTAACTATTGATATCTCTATTACAATTCTGACCAGGAGTGGTATAATTGTGAGTATGTACCACGCTTTAGTGCTATCTATAATAGAAATGGGACTGGTCAGCCTTCCTATTTTCTTTTGAAAGTATCTTAAACTGCATTTTGGATAGACATACGGTAATCAAAATTCAGATATCTGGAATTCTATTTTAACCACTCAAGTAGTAAATGTCTGTAATAACAATACTACTAGTAGAAATACAATTTGATGTCAAGAGTAGGATTTCTGGATATCTAGAATGTTATAATCATTTTTGATATCTGAGGTTGTCATTATGATAAGTAGTATCTGGATTATGGAGATCTGAAATTAGATTTATTTATTGTCAGAATATTTTAGATATCTGGAAATAAAAGCTCAATACACATGCATGGAAAATGTGACATCATTACATTTAAGATATCTGAATTACATATTCAGTCAAGCTATTAAATGTTTTTTTGATGAATGTTTTGGAGACACAGTTTTCATAAGAGGGGGGCAGCTTTATATAATAGGTCAGAATTGACTGCTTTAAACAACAGTCACATCTTATTATAATTCTAAAATCTTTTTTCTTGTTCCTTAATTAATAGAGTTTCCCGTAACAAGTCTGAGAAGAAACGCAGAGACCAGTTCAATGTCCTCATTAAGGAGCTGGGTACCATGTTGCCAGGCAACACCCGTAAGATGGACAAGTCTACTATTTTGCAGAAAAGCATTGACTTCCTGCACAAACACAAAGGTAGAAAACACTCAGAATGCTGAGAAAGCTGTTTAGCCCGGAGCTTCTCTGAGCTTAACTTCTCTCTTTTGTCTCCTGAACAGAGAATGCTGCTCAGTCGGAAACAACTGAGATCAGACAAGACTGGAAGCCTCTGTTTCTTAGTAATGAAGAGTTCACCCAGCTGATGTTGGAGGTGATGCTTACTTTGTGCTTGTTTAGTTTTTTCATTTAACAGAAAAGGAATTTTCTGTATAAAGCCAAATGCTTCATCTTTCAGGCCTTGGATGGATTTTTCCTCGCTATCATGACTGATGGGAATATAATCTATGTTTCTGAGAATGTGACTTCTCTATTAGAGCATTTACCTGTGAGTACTCCCTGTTCAGATTTTCAATAAGTCTTTGCCTTTTACTTTATTTTGACTAAAATTCACTTTATTTCGACCTGACACATCTTGTGTCTTTCAGGCTGATCTTGTGGATCAGAACCTTATAAATTTTCTGCCCCCGGGGGAGCAATCTGACGTGTACAAAACTCTGTCCTCACATGTCACAGAGGGAGAGACTCTAACGCCGGAGTATCTTAAAAGTAAGTAATCTTTTGCTTAATAACTTTTCTTCAATATTTTTTTTTTTTACTCAAACCTTTTTTTCTCTCATTAGCAAAGAATCAGCTTGAGTTCTGTTGCCATATGCTTCGAGGGACAATCGATCCCAAAGGGCCTCCTGTGTATGAATATGTTAAATTCATTGGAAACTTCAAATCGCTCAATAATGGTAAGATGATGTTGCACAGGGTTGCTTCTAGCAGTTTTGATGTTTTTTTATTCCTCTTGAGTTTTAGCTTTTCTTTCTTGTTGTAAACAGTGCCTAACTGTAACAGAAACGGTTTTGATGGAGTGATCCAGCGATCGCTTCACTCTACATTTAAGGACTCAGTGTGTCTAATTGCGACCGTAAGGCTGGCCAAACCACAGTTCCTCAAGGTGAGAATTGTCTTTTCAATTCATTACTTTAGCTACTGTAGTGTTTTCCACAAGAAGGACTCTTGAATTTAGCTATCTGTAAGGAACAATTTAGCATCTGCCATTCAAGGAAGCTGCTCTGCAAAACTCTCGGCAACACTCAGCAAAACAGGCTCTTAAATTTTTATAAAGGATTATTCTCTTTGTCTATTTAACACTAAAAATGATTCAGAATATTGAAATAATTCCTGATAATTATGAACGGATATGAAAATTCAGGATAATATTGCCTCTCATAATAATCCTGTGGCCTATGAACTATAATAAATACATAATATAGATTATATTCTCTACCCCTTTAACGCAGTGAAATAAATGGTAAATGCCATGTACTTATATAGCGCCTTTATTCAAGTTAGGAGACTTGACCAAAGCGCTTTACACTACATTCATTCACCCATTCACGCACACACTCACACACTGATGGTGGCAAGCTACATTGTAGCCACAGCTGCCCTGGGGCTCACTGACAGAAGCGAGGCTGCCGTACACTGGCGCCACCGGGCCCTCTAACCACCATCAGTAGACAATGCAGGTGAAGTGTCTTGCCCAAGGACACAACGACAATGAAAGTCGGGGCTTGAACCGTCAACCCTTCGATTTCAGGGCAAACTCCTACATCCAACGCCACTGTCGCCCCTAAATAAACACCTTTGACATTACCTCTCTGCTTTAAACACCGTACACTCCTGTGCTGCAACAACTAACAAACACGTCATGGCAAACTATAGAAACAAAAACACAAATGGTAACGACTTTGGTTATAAATATTGGTCCAGTTTTTCTTATGACACAATGCCAATCTGTTAAGAAAATGTATAAAGCCAGCTCATTTGAATGCAGGTTTGTGATCTTTGTTTTTTTTTTAAAGAAAATTAATAAAATTTAGTACAATGGATTCTGTCTTTCCTATGAACTATGCATACTGGTAGGGATGGACAGTTATAGAATTGTTTATCACAAAAAACATTTACTATGATAACAATCTAGACTTATGGTGACAACTGTAATCTTTAATGTTTGAAAACCCTAAAAACAAAAACTTTTACTTGTTTTTCCACGTTTTTGGAGAATACCATCAATACATATTAAGATACTTGGAATAAAGGTACCGGTATGTTTAAATGCCTCCCTGGTTTTCTAAATAGCAAACTACATAATGGGTTCTTTTTAAGAGCATTACTTATGTTTTTGGACTTTTAAAAGAGAATCAAGCATCCTTACCTGTTTTGATGTCTCCCTCTTTCTTTCTTGTTTCCACTAGAGGTCATGAAATCATTTAATACTTTATCTTCAGGGCTAATTCTGCTTATAAAGGGCTCTACATTTGGTGACCTATTCTTCTTTTTAACAGGAGATGTGCACAGTTGAGGAGCCTAATGAGGAATTTACCTCTAGGCACAGTTTAGAGTGGAAATTTCTCTTCTTGGACCACAGGTACGAGGGAACTTTTTCCTGTTTTTAATTTATGCTCACTATCAGACTTTAGTATTTTCTTTTGTACATGAGGCACATTTTCACCCTAAACTACAACCTTTGGCATCTATTTTTTAATACATGCAAATAGATAAACGGATGGATAGATCCCTCACTCCCTCCCTCTGGGAAGGGAGCAGCAATAAAAAAAGTACAGATCAAATAAATAAGATTGTGATAAAAAAAATTACAATGAATACAAAAAGATACAAGAAAGAATAAAATGAGATAAAAAAATATATGTAAGAATACAGAACAATAACATTCAATATATTGTCAATAAATGTGCTGTGTGCTTGGGGAGTGTGGTGTATTGAGGTGTGTTGATACAATATAGCACAATATATTCAGTGATTAATAGTGCACCTCAACAGACTAATAGTCCACAAACTGATAACTTAATGAACTACTGCTGCCATTATTGGTCCACATCACCCTCTGTCCTCCTGCTACTCCTCCTCTCCCCCAAAGAGGAGTTGTACAGTCAGATGGCTAGTTGGACAAAGGACTTTTATGTCTGATGGTCCTGCTCTGAGGAAGAAGCAGCCGTCACTGAACAGGCTCTTATGGTCACTGACGACGGTGTGTAGAAGGTGATTTGCATTGCTCAGGATGCTCAGCAGTTTGTCCATAGTCCTTCTCTCTGCCACCGACACAACCAAGTCCAGTTTCATGGCGACCACTGAGCCTGTACATGTTGTTTTTCCGATTAACCCAATTTAGTCTGTTACAGAACAGCAGGGTCAGCTTGACCTGCAATCAGTCATGAATATTTTCCTAAAGTGATTCATGCTGTGGTGCTGATGCACAAAAACCTCACCAAAACTGAGCAGCCAAAGGCTCACGATTCAAAATGTGAGCCTTTTTGTGTTTGACTCCCTCTTCACCCCTTTTTTGTGTTTTTTCCATCAGGCAGCCTTATATCTGAGTTTTTTTTATTTCTTATACGTATAATATGCAGACCAGCAGCCATTCCAGATAACCAAAAATTGGTGTAGTACAGTTATGTTAACAAGAAAGGGCATTTTTTTTTCTCTTCTAAGCCTCTAGCTGTTAAGATGTTGTCTTTATAAGCTGACAATATTATATAAATTTAAACTCCAAAGTAAAATTACATGCAGCAGATCTCCAAATGTCGTTAAAGCTCCCAATAATGCTACATTTAAGAATGTGCAAGAAAATTTCTTTTAAGATTAGGCAGACAGTCTTTTGGCTTTCAACGCCCCTGTCCTCCCGACGCCCCGTCCTCCCGAAGGCTGCGCCCCCAACAACCCGCAGCCATGACAACCAGTCAGAGTTAGTAAAGATGGCGAAGAAGGCTGTGGCTAGACCATTAGGCTGCTACAGACCTCTTTAGACAGCTTATTTCCCCTTATGACATCATAGGAAAGGTAAGAGGAATACTTTTCAAACAAAGCAAAATATTGGACCTTTGATAACTGGACATTTTCAAAAGGTTTTAAAAAGATGAAATGGTAAAAAAAAAAAAAAAGTCAAACTAGTTTTTTGTATTTTTAGATATACACTATATTGCCAAAAGTATTTGCTCACCCATCCAAATTATTGGAATCAGGTGTTCCAATCACTTCCATGGCCACAGGTGTATAAATTCAAGCACCTAGGCATGCAGACTGTTTTTACAAACATTTGTGAAAGAATGGGTCGCTCTCAGGAGCTCAGTGAATTCCAGCGTTGAACTGTGATAGGATGCCACCTGTGCAACAAATCCAGTCGTGAAATTTCCTCGCTCCTAAATATTCCACAGTCAACTGTCAGCTGTATTATAAGAAAATGGAAGTGTTTGGGAACGACAGCAACTCAGCCACGAAGTGGTAGGCCACGTAAACTGACGGAGCGGGGTCAGCGGATGCTGACGCGCATAGTGCGAAGAGGTCGCCAACTTTCTGCAGAGTCAATCACTACAGACCTCCAAACTTCATGTGGCCTTCAGATTAGCTCAAGAACAGTGCGCAGAGGGCTTCATGGAATGGGTTTCCATGGTCGAGCAGCTGCATCCAAGCCATACATCACCAAGTGCAATGCAAAGCGTCGGATGCGGTGGTGTAAAGCACGCCGCCACTGGACTCTAGAGCAGTGGAGACGCGTTCTCTGGAGTGACGAATCGCGCTTCTCCATCTGGCAATCTGATGGACGGGTCTGGGTTTGGCGGTTGCCAGGAGAACGGTACTTGTCTGACTGCATTGTGCCAAGTGTAAAGTTTGGTGGAGGGGGGATTATGGTGTGGGGTTGTTTTTCAGGAGCTGGGCTTGGCCCCTTAGTTCCAGTGAAAGGAACTCTGAATGCTTCAGCATACCAAGACATTTTGGACAATTCCATGCTCCCAACTTTGTGGGAACAGTTTGGAGCTGGCCCCTTCCTCTTCCAACATGACTGTGCACCAGTGCACAAAGCAAGGTCCATAAAGACATGGATGACAGAGTCTGGTGTGGATGAACTTGACTGGCCTGCACAGAGTCCTGACCTCAACCCGATAGAACACCTTTGGGATGAATTAGAGCGGAGACTGAGAGCCAGGCCTTCTCGTCCAACATCAGTGTGCGACCTCACAAATGCGCTTCTGGAAGAATGGTCAAAAATTCCCATAAACACACTCCTAAACCTTGTGGACAGCCTTCCCAGAAGAGTTGAAGCTGTTCTAGCTGCAAAGGGTGGACCGACGTCATATTGAACCCTATGGATTAGGAACGGGATGTCACTTAAGCTCATATGTGAGTCAAGGCAGGTGAGCAAATACTTTTGGCAATATAGTGTATTTAAATAACAGAATACAGTCAGTTGAACAGTTAAGTTGAAGATTTGAACACATCTCATGCTCTGAGGGATTTAGGGCTAAAAGTTTACATTTGACCCTTGCTGTCTGTTCATAGTTTCAACACTCATAAAGAAAAAGAAAAACAAAGAAATGTGGACGGATTATCTGGAAATGATTTAGTCATCCTATTAATAGGATATTTAAGCTGTATATACCTATGACAAAGAAACAAAAGGTATTCAGTTTTACATAACTGGAAGATTCTATGTATATTCACAAATAGACATCACAGTCTTTCATTAACTTATTAGATAAGAGTTTAAATCAGACTACAGTTTTAAATGTGTTCTTCTGCGTATTCACTTACTGTTTCACATAGATTTCCTTAATCTACACCAAATAGAATAGCAAATTGGTTTAAAGCATAAATGTTTTAAAACGGAACTAGAACTTTGACATGCTTACTTATAGGACCCTCCTAAATCGCTGCTTTCAGAATATATTTTTAGAAATAATCTTTTTTTTGTTGTTTCAAAAATATGTTTATAGGTTTCTATGCTGCTTTGAATTAAATGAATACATTAAAGATTGTTAGGCAAACATGTAATGTTTGCCAACAGCAAGTAAAAGAGAAAGAGATGAACCTACATAGACAACGGTCATCTATGATGCAGCTCTGAAATAGCCTAGAAACAGATAAACAGAAAACAAGCTAAAGTTATTACTGGTAAATGGTGTTGAAATAATTGGGCATACTTAGTATTTATAATGTGTGTTTTGGTGAATATGTAGATTATTTTACTACATGGTGAAACAAATTCCTTTTTTAATTATGCCCTGTTATGTGTAACTCTAGGGTGTACTTTATTTTCCCTAAACCTTTGTTGGTAAAACTCCCTGAACAATGGCCTCTGACTGACAATAGGGAGTTGTTGGACCAGTGAGTTGGGTTTAGATGTGTGTAAAGGTTTACTCCTCTCAGTAACGATTCGACTGCCCTGGTTTGTCCAGAGCACCTCCCATCATAGGGTACCTCCCATTTGAAGTTCTGGGTACTTCAGGATATGACTACTACCATGTTGATGACCTGGAGACTCTGGCCAAATGTCATGAACACTGTGAGTGCTGCTCTTCCTGCAAGTATATTGATGGCTTATTGTTGTCTTCTTCTCAAGTGCTAAAATGGTGCCATGTTTTTGTTTCTGTGTAGTGATGCAATATGGGAAAGGAAAGTCCTGCTATTACAGGTTCCTCACTAAAGGACAGCAGTGGATTTGGCTGCAGACACATTACTACATCACTTACCATCAGTGGAACTCCAGACCAGAGTTTATTGTCTGCACACACACTGTTGTCAGGTATGTGTCAGTACATATGTATTAACAGTTTGTACAATGTACTGCAGAAATAGGACAACTCAATTTACAAGAGACTAATAAATATATTGAAGATATTGTATATATATTATTTGTATAGCACCCATTTACAACAAATATTGTTTTAAGGCATTTGGCAAAAGCATCAGATCCAGTTTAAATGCTGAAATGTAGCCAGTTCACACCAGAATAATTTTTTTATTAGTATATGTAGCTGATCACCTGAACCAACCAGCTTCTTGTTTAACACACGACAGTGGCAGTATTATTCTGTGGAGAGGCTTTTCTTCAGCAACTCTTAGTCAGAATTGGTTGAACAATGGATGGAGCAGAATACAAGGAGTCTCAAAAAGAAAATCAATCTTAGAGACTGTAAGACCTGAAGCTGGAGGAGCTTTAGCTTCCAGCAGGTTATTGCCGCTCAGCAAATAGCTTTTCAGATTTGCATTTTAAAATGATGTTATGGTCAACTAAACACATTTGAGGTTGTGGTTGTAACCTAAAGAAATGTGAATACATACCTACAGCTCTATCCAATGTCTCTCCTCTACAGCTATGCTGAAGTACGAGCAGAACGGCGCAGGGAGCTTGGAATTGAAGATTCTCCCCCTGAGGTCAAAGCTGAGAAGGTGAGACGTTTGCTTAATGTTTGTTACATTCTGTCACTGATAAAGACGACTAAAGATGGTTGACGATACTTTGGAACGGCAGTCCCAGGATTCAGGTTCCGAGTATCGCCTCAACGCCTTCAGCCTGAATGAACCCCTGGAGCAGTTTGACCACAGCCGAACACCATCAGCCTCGTCACGCAGCTCACGAAAATCCTCCCACACTGCCGTTTCCGACTCCGCCTGTAAGCACCTTTAACAGCGCTGCTTTCATAGTCGAAGATCTCCAAAAAGATGTCTGAATGTTTGTCTCACCGTATTTCTGCTTCAGCTTCACATCAGAAGATTCAGGGAGATACAAGTAACCTGGGTCAACAGCCTGTCTCTGTGGAAATGACATCACAACGAGGATCATCGGGCAGCAGTCAGGTCAGCACAAAGGAGCCAACATTCCCTCTTTTAACCTCTCGTGGTCTGACCTGAGTGACAAGATTTTGTATTTTTTACTGATTTGTGCCTGTTGTGTTTCCTTAGTTATCGATGACCTCACAGAACACATGTCAGAATGTGGCGCCCCCCATAGTTTCACAACAGCAGCCTCAACAACAACTTCAGAACAACCAAGTAAGAAACTTCACCAGCATAGAGCATTAGCTCCCTGCTGTTAGAGGGATTCATGTTTTCAGGGAACAGCTTAGGAACTTCTTTAGGGCTGCCGCTGACGATTATTTTGCAAATCCATGAATCTGTTGGTTAAACAATTAATAATGGATAATAATATCGTATCTTCACGACTATAAGGCGCATATAAACGTCTTTTTCTTCCTTCAAAATGTGCGGCGCTCCCTATAGTGCGGTGCGCCCTATGTGTGTTGTTACTGCGGACGTTGTTGAGACCACCATGAGAACGTTAAAGGGGGAAGTGTGGGCGTGGATTGTGTATAAAAGAACAGGTATGTTCTTTATGCAGAACATTGTTGCCTTAACAACCCTGAAAATGGCAAAGAGACTTTGCCTAAAGAGACTTTTCCAGCTGGAGTCGTTATTAAGGCAAATGAAAAGAGCTGGATGGATGAGGAGATGATGAAAGAGTGGCTGAGGGAGTATGTAAGGAGACCAGGTGTTTTTTTCCACGCATCACCATCGCTGTTAATCTGTGACTCCATGCGTGCCCATCTCACAGCCGATGTGAAAAACATGGTGAAACAAATAAACGCTGTGCTCGCTGTTATCCCGGGGGTCTGACAAAGGAACTTCAACCGCTCGACATCGGTGTGAACCGGCCGTTCAAAGTAAGGCTGCGAGCGGCGTGGGAGCGATGGATGAACAACGGAGACCACAGTTTCACGAAAAGTGGAAGGCAGCGCTGGGCAAGTTACGCCACCGTTTGCGGATGGATTGTAGATGCTTGGACTAACGTGTCTGCTGGCACTGTTGTTCAAGCTTTCGCAAAAGCCGGCATAATTTCTGAAGAGCTGCACGGCACGGAAAGTGACTCTGACAGCGAAGAAGGGGAAACTGGCATGTCTGATTTAGCGCAGCTGTTTAATTCAGAAACAGAGGATGATGACTTTGATGGGTTTGATTAATACTTTGTAATAAATACATGAATAAAGCACAATCATGCTCAGTTTTGCTCCCGCTCTATTTTTAAATACGCGGTAGAGGTATTTAAACGTAGTAGAGGACATGTACCTGTATATAAAACCCGCACCCTATAGTCCGGTGCGCCTTATGGTCGTGAAAATACGGTAATCGGACAGCAAAAGGTTCCTTAAAGAAGATTTTTTACTAAAATGAACCAGGTGACACTAAAACTTTTCGACTTGAGGAGTTCTGGATAAAGCATATTGAGAGACGGAAATGTTTTTTTTTTTTTTTTATAATAAATTTAAAATGTTTTTATATATTTTTTACAATAATAATAATTACTGCTCTAAGTGTGTTGCTCTGTCAGCTAATGGCATGTTTTTTGTCTCTATACTCCAGTTAACGATTAATCGATTACTAAATTAGTGGACAATTATTTCAATAACCGATTAATCTGATTGTTTCAGCCCTAAATTTCTTACATCATAATTTAAATTCTGCTTAGATGGAGAGAAAGTCTTTGAAATATATGGTGTAGTGTTTTTAAATAAGCATTAATATCCCTAAAAGGTTTCAGCCACAAACTGTATTGTGTTTTGTAGACATTTTGGCTAATATAACAAAAACAATTAGTGGATGGTTTTAAACTAGATGAAAACTGAACCACAATTGTGGGTTTTTAAATGCTTGTTGAAATACAATCCACTTCTACCAGTCATGTTCAGGTCGTCATTTAACTTCAGGTCAAATTATGACTTGGGGATTTATCCTTTTTATGGATTAATTGAATTTCCTTTTTTTTTAATAAATAATTTACTTTTAGAAAATCTTGATTATTTTCACCAATTCTATGGCTTCCATAGCATCAGTTCATCACTTTCATCATCTTATCTGCTTCCAACTAAACTAGCTCATTGTTTAATACTACCAGCTGAAAACATTTAGTTATATTTTCCTTATTTGTCGTGAGGCATGTATAACAGTCATGTTTCAAAACTTGAATTTCATTGCCTTTTAAATTAATGGGGAACGCTGTTTTTTTTACATTGGGCCCTTGATGACGGATGGATGATGTCATACACACTCTGCTTTGTTTTAAAAAGAAAACGCAAATATAAAATATATATCTGTGGATGTCTGTTGGACAGTGATTCGCCTACATGTTATGAATGCTGGCGTACCATAAATTATAAATTATGAACAGTTTAGTTTGTGCCTTCAATTTGTTTGCCCATAGAAAGACGTTACTTGGATATAAACTAACAGAATATCTTCAGAACAGCTCCAAATGACACAAAACTCATATGGGTGAGTAGAACATGATGTGATAATGTAAAATCAAGGGCCAAATGTCAAAAAAACGGCGTTCCCCTTTAAGGTCACCTCCCTGAGTAGAAGATTGAAGGAAAAGCTAGTTTTTTAAAGAAATGTATGTTATTTGATGCTTTTTTATCATGAAATTTAAGAGAAACAAACCAATAAATTTTAATTTGGTAGGAAAAAAATCAGAGACTGGAGTTTTTAAGCTGTATTGCCCAGCCATAATTTGAATCCAGATATTTTTTAAGGGCCTCACAGAGAATAATAAAGAACAAACAACATTATGAAGACCAAGGAATAGCAGCAGGTCTCTAACTGGGAAACATTGGCTGCAGACATGGCCATAAAAAACATAATCTTAGCTTACCTTAAAGAGCACAGTTTAATCAAAACAAAATATAGTAATTGATATTTCATTTCACTAATTTTCAAGCAATATGCAAATCTGGTCTTTAAAAAAAAGTGGTGATAAGAATTAACTTGTTTACAGAAAGAAGAAGTGGTGTTTTCAGTTTGTGGCATGATGTGTAAAGGAAAGACCCAACATTTTACTGCATTTTTCTGTGCAGACAGCAGACCTTGCACCCACGTCTCTCTGCTATGTTTACCTGTGTTCATGTGTTCGACAGTCAGCGCAGTACTCTAACCAGCTAGAAGCCATGCAGAATCTGAAGAAGCAGCTGGAGAAGAAGACCAGGATTATTGAGGATAACATTCAGCGGCAACTGGATGAGTTGCATCAGATCCAAGTGGAGCTCCAGAGGGTGCAGGGGCAGAGTCTGCAGGTGCTGCTTGATTGTTCCTCATTGAATGTTTGAATGATCGTTTTACTTAAACTTCATATCTAATTTTGAGATGTCGACCCTCAGATGCCTCAACAGAAAGTAGACGAAGGACTTAACCCCAGCTCTGCTCAGGCCCTGCATAGCAGCTCTGGCCAGCAGGTGGGGCAGCTGAGCATTCAAAACCAGGTGGTCCCAGCGGTGCCTCTGCAGAACAGCATTCAGCAGCAGGCAGTCCAAGCTCAGTCCCAGCAACAAACACTTCTAAGGGACCAGAGCACAGTGCAATCACAGGTCAGGGAAACAAAATAAATGGATGTATTAAACACTGGCTCCCATTGATTTTAAAGATTTTTCTAACTTAAAGTACTGATTCAGGCTCCTTGGTCTTTCAGTCTCAACACTCGACACTGACTCTGCAGCCTCAACAGAATCTTCTCCCAGGGTCCATCTACAATACTATGATGATCCCTCAGCAAAACCCGGCTAACATGGTTCAGATTTCCACAAGCCTGGCACAAAACACAGTATCCAGCACTCCTGCTGTTGCAACATTTGCACAGGACCACGCTGCTCAGATAAGGTGTCGAACCCACTCCTTATATTGTAGTTTTCTTCTTTCAGGCTCAGTCCTTCTGATTATTGCTTCTGCTGCAGTTGCAAGAGAAAATATTGACCCTTTTTTTTTATCAAGCTAACTAGCTGATCTGCCCTCCCCTTCACAGGTTTCCTACAGCTCCTCATTTACTCACCAAACTGGTCACAGGACAGATTCCATGTGGGGTCATGGTTCCCACAAGCATGATTATGGGTCAGGTGGTGACGGCCTTTGCTCCTCAGCCGGGCCAGACTCAGACCTTCAGCATTTCTCAGCAGGAGCAGCATCAGCATGTACAGGCACAGTCCCAGGGCTCAGCCCTACAAGCAGGACCTGCTCCACTAGCCCAGCAACAGACACAGTTCCTGCAGGTATTACTGGCAGCTAACCATTAAACATTTCAGTTCATATTACCTAATTTTCTGCACATCTTTTTCTGTTTCTCAATGTTGACAGGAAGCTTTTTCATACTAATCGAAATGTTTCACTCCAGGCTCCTCGGCTCCTTCATGGAAACCAGCCCACCCCCCTTATTCTCCAAGCAGCATTTCCTTTCCAGCAGCACAGTAACTTCACTGCTGCAGCCCAGCATCCGCAGCAGAAACAGCAGCAGCAGCTGGCTGCTCACCGATCAGACCGATCTGAGCGCCCATCTACTCAGCCGCAGTAGCTGACAAAGTAAGACCGGCCAAACTCAGACATGCAAAGCTGTAACCGTTGATCCCGCCTCCGAGGCAGAAAAGAGCCTGATTGGCAGTCCTCCTTCTCTCAAGGGTCTTTTCTATTAAACAAGACTGCTAATGGGAAGAGTTGAGCAGAGAACCAGGACTCCGCCTTTAGATTTGGACCACAGCGGAGTCAGGATGTTATCTTTAACTTTGTCAAGCTGAACTGTCGGAGGATCAGGCCGTTTAGTTTTTGTTTTCTGTATAAAAATAATCATGGGTCAGAAAATATTTTTATGAATGTGGTGTAGATTACAGTTTAACTGTACAGAATATCATGTGTAATATATTATGTATATATACAGAAAAAGAAATGGCTAATATTTTATATGATGCATGAAATGCATTGTTGTTCTTTGCAGCTTTGATTATGTTTTTTCCCCCAAGGATTTTAAGACAAAAAGATCTTAATGCTCAGTGGCTGATTTTTTTTAACTTGCTCTCTCTTGCAGGGATGTGTTTGTGTGTCTGCATAGCAGACAGGGCTGATGTTATTGTCCCACTTTTTGTTACCCTTTATTTAAATACTATTAATTACAACTGTCTAAATGATTGGACACATTTCTGGTCTTTTTTAAAAGGTGTGCTAAACGTCCAAGCAGTGAAAACCCTCAGATATTGTTCATGAAATGGAAACTACCTACTACCAAGATGAAGCTAAATGGAAGAATTGTCATCTCAGTCATTCATATCTTAATTTATTTGTCTCCTTTTCTGAATATCTTTCAATCTCCCATTTCTGTCTGTATAATTCTTCAAGATGCTCTACTTCACATTTATATAAAAAAAGAGAGAAATATTTAAATGGAAATCTGCTCTGTTGTTGTTTTTTGCTAATGGAAATATTTTCTCTTTACTCATTTTTTTTTTTTTTTTACATAATCAGTTATTGCCAAACAACAATTTAGGTCTCAAAGAACCTGCATCTTTACATAAACACAACCCAGGTGAGAGCTGAGGTGGAAAATGGAGCTAAACATGGAGCAGGCTGAGAAAGAGGCACAGCTGCAGGCTTCAAATAGATGTTTTTCATTCAGGATAAATGAACACAAGCTCCTTGGCTCATCATTAGATAAACAATGCTCAAAAGAATGAAAAAAATAATTAGTAAATAAATGAAAATGTTTGCCTGATAGTTTCCCTTAGCAACTCTGCATATTGTCCAGCAAATCCAGCATCATCTGATAAACCTTGTTCTTTATTTCAGATTTGGTCCATTAAATTCAACAATAACTAGTGAAGCATGACTTTAAACATCTAACAATATACTCAGAATTTTAAGAGCTTGTGTTAAAACCAATACTTTATTTTTAGCTGCTAAGCTGCTAAACCTTCCACTATCATCCAATTGAAAACCTGCACATGGACACAATTAGCTCCAAAAGGAGCTAAATATTTTAACCTGGTGCATTATTTTACAGAAAGCCTAAACCCAAAGATACCAGTTGGTCATCAGCGTCTTTTTCCCAGGCGGATGTGGTTTCATTTGCAGTGGATTCAGTGCTTTAAAAGCCTTCACATCACTTTGAATCATCAGGCATGAGTAGACAGCCATTTACTGACTTCCCTCCTGGGTACACAGAGTCATTCTGGCTCTGTTGGCTTGATGTCACACCGTCCGATCCTGTTCACTAGCAGATGGTTTGTAAATCGCTCTGTGGCCTCTTCTGCCATAGGGAGAGATGCAAACAGCTTAGCCAAGGGTCCCAGATTTAGTTTCCTGCTATGACGGTTTAAACACTTTTGGGGTTTTACATGAGGAGCAAGTTGAGTTCATGGATTATTTTTCCCATTCTTGTATTTATGAATTCAGTGATTTATCAATCCCTGATGTTGGTTTGGAACACCTCATTTATCCTTTCTGGTTAAGATCAGGACGTTCACACCAAACGGCTCATCTTTTTTGATAGAACAGAAAGAGGCAGACCCCAAAGTGTTCTTACAAACTTTGGGGGGTGAGATTATCAGAGCACCGAGACACTGGATTAAAGGGAACTAACCTTAACCCCTGAAAAACAGTCCTACCAAAAGCACCACATCTGGCGGTTTCATGAAGCACAATTTCTTTAACTCATCTTGAGGGCACATGCAGCTTAGAGATCTGTAGAGATAGACCTTTCTAAACGTTCAGTTTCCTCCATTCAATGAGTATCTTATCCCTACTGACAACAATATGGGATTTAATGTCTACATCTATGCTGTTGTTGTTCACAGTTGCTTTTTTTTAAATACAAAACCACCAACAGCAGACTGGAATATTTAGTAGAAAAGGAACTCCATGATTGGACCAAAGGATATCCTATCATAGTTCAATGCTTTTCTTTATGGGTTTTAAGGGGAAAAGCCCCTGTTGTGGTTCTTGGTCTTTCTCATCATGACAAGCATCCTTAAAAGAATAATCCACACTTTTAGAAATTAAGGCAAAGAGAACCGTGTATTTTGCCCAGTTACAGACTGCTTTACGTGAGCTTTTCATGTAAAATCCAGGTAATATAGAATGAAAATAGAAGTTTAAGGGGTGAGGATGATTGTAAAGCTGGAAGGTTTAAAGCTCAGATTCTACTCAACTAGTTTTCCTCAAAAACTGAAAGTAGATATTTGAGCAAAAATGTAACCACTAAAAAAACCTATTTTTAACCCCCATTTTATAACTGCTTACCAATTTACTCTTTTTTAGTTACTCTATTTTTTTAGTATAACATTTCTATTCAGACCTTGTAGATTTTCTCTCCAACCCATTACTGCCACCTGCTGTTCACCTTGAGGCATTACATATTTCATACCAGCAGTTTTTTTTTTTTAGAATCTTTTCAAACTTCTGCTTTGTTTCCAAACTTAAAAATTAAACAAAATAACTTCAATGAGGACAATATTATGGCAGGTTACGCACGTGTCTCTTCATTTACTATCAAATAAGTAAAATAAAACATTTACATAGGTTCAAAAGTAAATCTGTTTACATTGATCTTAATTTGTATGCAGAAAACACTAAATACAGGATCTTATTTATAAGAGAGGTCAAACATTCAACAAACTAATGAAAACTAAGGTAAAATAGAAAAGCAGAGGAAACCCACTGAGTGATTATCTGAATAATAGAAATGTCTTTCAAAAAAGGGGGGAAAAAAAGCAGCTCTCTGGCAGAAAGAAACAAACTAAAGGTAATTCGACAGTTCATACCTGAAAATATGACTGCGATCTACTATAGCCAAATTAGTCAAAAATATTTTTTAATATAAATGTCACAAATTTTTCGGTTTTGGCATTAAATATTTTTTATAAGGCTTAATTTGGTTTAAATGAAGTTATAGATGAATAATAAATCTGGCAGCAAATAAAATAACCATATCTATGTAAGGATTTTCTCTGCATAATGCAATTTAATATGCATTTAAAATGGTCAAAATTGAAGTTGAACACTTTTCTACATAAAAAATAAGTTGGTGCAAACATGTCATCTCAATTAATTTTTCTCTGCATAATGCATACTATTTCTCTGCTTTACGTGAGCTTTTCATGTAAAATCCAGGTAATATAGAATGAAAATAGAAGTTTAAAGGGTGAGGATGCTTGTAAGCTGGAAGGTTTACAGGTCAGATTCTACTCAACTAATTTTCCTGAAAATTTGAAAGTAGATATTTGAGTAAAAATGTAACCACTAAAAAAACTTTATAACCCCCATTTTATAACTGCTTACCAATTTACTCTTTCTTTAGTACAGCATGTAGACAGTAAAGGTCACTTTTATCCAAAGACATGCTAAAGAATCTAATTTGCTGTCTCAGCTCTGATGAATAATAATCACTTACTTTAAAAGACAGCAATTAGTTATTAGGTTGTGTTATTGCAGCAGCACTGCAATAACACAACAGCGATTCTTAATAATTCTTCAAAAATGATAAGAGTAATAGAGATTTAAGATCATGAAGCATCCCACCTGGCCAAAAGGAAATCCAAGTCTGATCTCAGGGTTTGGCTGCACCAATCAGAGCAACATATAAACCAATTATTGACTTTTTATTAAAATAGCATGCTGACATAGGAACATGGACATCTTCAAAATAAACAAAGCCTGTTTCTTTCTAGATGTAGGATTGGTTTCAGTGGAAAACAAAATTTATTTCAAATTCATCCTAAAGTGAAAATAAATCAAAAAGAAGGCAATGTATTCATTACAGTTACAGACATCAGTACTGCTTTGATCCACATATTCTATCCAGAACAACAAGGAACCTGATGTTAGGCCTTTATAGCTTTCCCAGAAATGAGACAAGACATCTTCTAATCGTCCTAAATTTAGACATTTAATCAAACAACAGAATTATTTTACAGGTAGGTAGAGCCTGTCAAATATTGACAGTGCAACTTAAACCTGTTCAGTTAAACAATAAAAGGAAACCACACCCTGCTTAATAAACCTCTCCCACTCCATCTAGAGCACATGACTAAATGAAATGAAGCTATATAAATATTCTAAGTAAAACGAACAGAACTGTGTTGTGTTGAAGAAACACTGATTCTTTGCCTGATGTTTTTATTTCTCTTCTGCAACGTGATATTAATGAAAGGGAAATTCAACTAGAGGTGGTGATAACTGGCCGTCCTTCAGCTCATTTTGACAATTTTCTGCAGCAGGAATTATTCAGAAAATGAACCTGTGGAAGAAGCAATGTAGTTTTTTTTATTGAGGACTGAATAAAAAATATGTTAAAACCATAGAACTGTGCTTAGGTCCTTCAAGTGATCCGGGTCCACCTCTAGAAATATTTTAAGTCTATTTAAAAGCTTTTAATTAGAACAGGCATTAATATATGTCCTTGTTCTACTGTCACAGTTTTTTTTGCAATGGCTCCAATTTTAATAAACTTAAATGCATAGAGAAAAAATCTCCCGGTGGAAGCTTGAAATAAAAGAGGAACTCTGAAGCAGACATGAGGTACCTAGTAAATGTGTATAAATATCTCAACAGTCCTTAACAGAGGCTCATATCAAACATAAAATGCTCTACTTGACATGTAAAAGCAAAACATTCATTGCTTTCTGCCCAATATGGTACAGTACAGCTGGGTTATTGTAGATTAGTACCCCTGATGTTGATACTCTAACCTGTTTTGTATTTTTGAATTTGACCAGAAGTTATTCATGAATAAAGAATAAACACAGGCTCCTAGGTCTGTACTGTAACATGCAACTGAAAGCTAAAGCTGCCAACTATAAGAGTACAGAGTGGGGAAAGTCCTTAATACCAGGTTGTTTGAGAAACAGCTGTGTATGTTGAGTAAGACGTTGGCTTCCACCCGCTTTTTTCATAAGTCCTTATGATGTGAATAAAGCTCTTAAAAGAGAGCACAGCGCTTCTTCCCCTTCAGGCTGCAGCTTGTCCCGCCAGCAGTTCGTTACACCAAAGTAAAAACTAGCTGAAAGTAGGGGGTCTTTCCTAATAACAATTCAGACTTTCAGTTGGGATGAAACGTACTGAAAGTGAGCAGCAGCACCCCCTTTCACTGTGACGTGTGCACTTTTAAACTCGTGGGAAATCAGAGAACTAGCTTACGATTCACAAACAGAAGGGGAAAAAATATCTTAGGAAACACATCAGACAAGGGGTTGAAACAGAAGAAATCAAGACTTGCTTTCTTCTTAGGAAGTCTTGTCTTCTGTTGAAATACCCTCGACCATCATGACCTGAATAGCTAAGAATCAACATGGAGAAAAAGAAAAAAAACCCAACTGGTGGGACTCTGAAATAGAGACCTCTAAGTACAGAGTCAAACTAAAGTCTCTTTATATCTTGCACTTATTTACAAAATGTCCTTTTTTTCCCCTCCAACAATTAAAATCCAGCTTCTGGCTTGATAAACAGGGCAGATAAGGCAAAGGCCAGAAATACAATCCCTCCGATGATCGTAACTGTGGAAACAAAAAAAGACAGTTTTAGGGAGACAGTCAGACTTCAGGAGAATCAAAACCAATAAATCTGCTTCAAGAATTTTCCCCCTCAGGAAACCGGTTCTCATTCACTTCCAAAAAATCTACAGAAACGTTTTACAGAGAAATCTGAACAATCCATTTCAAATTTTGCTTAAAAAACTAAAAAAAACAACAAAAGAAATGGACGGGATCACCCGGCTTTGGATAGTAATATTTAGTAGAATTCTGAGAATCTACAGGTGCTGGTCATAAAATTAGAATATCATGAAAAAGTAGATTGATTTCAGTAATTCCATTTAAAAAGTGAAACTTGTATATTATATTCATACATTACATACAAACTCATATATTTCAGATGTTTATTTTGTTTAATTTTGATGATTACAAATGACAACAAATGAAAATCTCAAATTCATCATATCAGAAAATTAGAATATTGTGAAAAGGTTCAAAATTGATGGCCCCTGGTGCCACACTCTAATCAGCTAATTAACTCAAACCACCTGCAAAAGCCTTTAAATGGTCTTTCAGTCTAGTTCTATAGGCTACACAATCATGGGGAAGACTGCTGACTTGACAGTTGTCCAAAAGACGACCATCGACACCTTGCACAAGGAGGGCAAGACACAAAAGGTCATCGCTAAAGAGGCTGGCTGTTCACAGAGCTCAGTGTCCAAGCACATTAATAGAGAGGCGAAGGGAAGGAAAAGATGTGGTCGAAAAAAGTGTACAAGCAAGAGAGATAACCGCACCCTGGAGAGGATTGTGAAACAAAACCCCTTCAAAAATGTGGGGGAGATTCACAAAGAGTGGACTGCAGCTGGAGTGAGTGCTTCAAGAACCACCACACACAGACGTATGAAAGACATGGGTTTCTGCTGTCGCATTCCTTGTGTCAAGCCACTCTTGAACCACAGACAGCGTCAGAAGCGTCTTGCCTGGGCTAAAGAGAAACAGGACTGGACTGCTGGTGAGTGGTCCAAAGTCATGTTCTCTGATGAAAGTAAATTTTGCATTTCCTTTGGAAATCAAGGTCCCAGAGTCTGGAGGAAAAGAAGAGAGGCACTTCATCCACGTTGCTTGAAGTCCAGTGTAAAGTTTCCACAGTCAGTGATGGTTTGGGATGCCATGTCATCTGCTGGTGTTGGTCCATTGTGTTTTCTGAGGTCCAGGGTCAACGCAGCCACATACCAGGAAGTTTTAGAGCACTTCATGCTTCCTGCAGCTGACCAACTTTTTGGAGATGCAGATTTCATTTTCCAACAGGACTTGGCACCTGCACACAGTGCCAAAGCTACCAGTACCTGGTTGAAGGACCATGGTATCCCTGTTCTTAATTGGCCAGCAAACTCTCCTGACCTTAACCCCATAGAAAATCTATGGGGTATTGTGAAGAAGAAGATGCAATACACCAGACCCAACAATTCAGAAGAGCTAAAAGCCACTATTAGAGCAACCTGGGCTATCATAACACCTGAGCAGTGCCACAGACTGATCGACTCCATGCCACGCCGCATTGCTGCAGTAATACAGGCCAAAGGAGGCCCAACTAAATACTGAGTGCTGTACATGCTCATACTTTTCATGTTCATACTTTTCAGTTGGCCAACATTTCGATAAATCCTTTGTTTTTATTGGTCTTCAGTAATATTCTAATTTTCTGATATGATGAATTTGAGATTTTCATTTGTTGTCATTTGTAATCATCAAAATTAAACAAAATAAACATCTGAAATATATGAGTTTGTATGTAATGTATGAATATAATATACAAGTTTCACTTTTTAAATGGAATTACTGAAATCAATCTACTTTTTCATGATATTCTAATTTTATGACCAGCACCTGTAGATGCATAAAAGGTAAGAAATGACCCATTTTTGGTGTTAACCTTTACATAAACAAATGGGGAAAAAAACAATTTCTTTTTCAGCAAATATAGCATTAAGATGAAGTTACCACATGGCAGCATCTCAAATAAATCTAACAGTGGTGTAGAATATCTTACCCGTCCGCACAGATATTTTCTGAGCGATCATTCTTCCTCCAATTACGGCCAGTCCTGTACACAAGCAATGCCCAATCGTGCCTCCTACTGCGACTCCAAATGGATCCTCTCTGGCAGCTAGAATAATGGTGGTGAGCTGTGAACGATCCCCCCACTCTGCCAGGAAGGTAAGCGTGAAGGCTTGGATGAAGATGGGGGAAATTAGTTTGGGCCATTTAGACTGAGGGACGGTGCTTCCTGTTCCCGCCTCCACGTCTGGAGTTCCATTAGCCAGCTTTGAGCGCTGAAGCTGCAGATAGAAATAAAAACAATAAAGACCACAACTGCAACAGAATGTGGAAATCCATTACACTGCATCTGTACTGTAACTAATCATGAACTTTGTAATTACAGAGATTTTCAACTGCTGAGATTTTGACTAGATGCGGGATGGTGGGAACACAAGCCTTGTGTTGCCATTTGTTGACAAAACAGCAACTGAACTGTTTTCTGTGTGTAAACCTGCCAAAGAGGCTTTTTTACAACATCTTTAAAAGGACACAAATCACCAAGGAAGCAGCCTGCAGGATTATGTAAATGTTTGCAAACAGAAGAAGAGCAAAGATTTAATTCCTATCATGTAAAATAGTATCAGTTAGCATGTGCTCTGAGAAGGTTGCAAGTACCCGGTTCGATCTCCACAGCAAGACCCTTAACCCCACACTACCCCCCGGGTGCTACACAATGGCAGCCCACTGCTCCCCGAGGGGATGGGTTAAAACTTTATTTCTTTGCTTTGTACTTGTGACAGTGTAATGACAATAAAGTTAACTATTGTTAACCTTAATCTGATGACTAGAGGCTCTTTGACTGGAGAAATCGAACTTCGCTCAATAGTTGAGCCACAATTATGAATGCTCATGACATTTAAAATGAGTCTTTAATTGTCTTTTTGCAAAACATTCAAAGTTTTTATTAAATATCATAAGTAGAGGTTCACCAACATATCAGCTGGTGACTGTAATGGGAGGATATTTGGCTTCTCTCCGGTCAGGTCCATCTGAAATAGAAAAGTCCTAACCTATCGTGGTGCCAACCACAAAACTAACACATTAGCGTGGAAGCTGTTACAGAGCGAAAAAGACTCAATGCAATACGTTTTCAATATCACTAGCTGTGTTTTGGGAGAAAAAAAAAGTGGAAATTTTCAATACCAAGTTTTTATGCATTGATAAGGTGGGTGTTCTGTCAAATAGAAATCTTTTGCAACGATGCAATTAAAACCCCTTTTTTGTATCACATGAGTCCTGTGGTCTTTCCCTTACTGCTGCATATTTGAATTAATGAGGCGACAGTATTTTTTTACCATTTAGTTTACGACGATGAGCACGATGAGAACTAGAGCCGTGGTTGAAGTATAGATACATCTAATGTGTCCGCGGCTGTCATTTTTTTTTTTTAGTTATAGCGCGAACAAACGTATTAAAATGTTGCTATTTTGGTTGCATTTCTTATTTAACGGAAATATCGCAATTGGGAAACGTACCATTTTCAAATGAAGAAGAATATCGTATAGTTTTTTGCCCAAATTTGTAATGGAAACGCAACTCATGGGATGGTTAAAGGAAATTTTGAAAAAAACACAAGAAAATAAGGAGGTATATAATAAAAAGTTAAAACTTTTCTCCAGGCTGCCACAAGAGAAAGGTCACCGATAATTTCTGCCAATCAATAAATTGTTCATTCTAACTCCATGTACTAGGGATGTCCCAATCCAATACTGATATTAGATATTATTGGTCCAATATAAACAAAAAATATATAGGAATATATATGTCTGCATCCAAAATATCAGAAACTAACATGCCGATAGAAAAACAAGGCTCAGTCCTTCCATTACCTTATCTTGTCTATTATTCTTTACTTAAGTAATGTCACCTGATGAATTCTTTTCTAATATTTTACTCTACAATACAAGGACTACAAGGTACGCATGAATAAAGCTGATATTATATCATTCACACGCAAGGCTGCAATATTATTAATGTAAATAAAAAAGTTTATTTGGATATTCTGGCTGTTTTGTGTTCTGATACAAAAGCAGCTGAATATGTAACTGGAAGGTTCTCCTATCTGGTACTTAAGAGCGTTCACACCTTGACTATTAAGGGTTCCATTTAAAACTTGGAAGTGTTGACAACCTTTCTAAATATTCAAAATGAAAAGGTTCTACAGTCATGGCTAAAAGTTTTGAGAATTATTCAAATGTTAATATTTATAAAGTCTACTGCCTCAGTTTTTATAATGGCAATTTGCATATACTCCAGAATGTTATAAAGAGTGATCAGCGTAACAGCAATTAATTGCAAAATCAATATTTGCCCTGATAATTAACTTTATCCCCCAAAACACATTTCAACATCATTGAAGCCCTGCCTTAAAAAGACCAGCTAACATCGTTTCAGTGATTGCCCCATTAACACAGGTGTGGGTGGTGATGAGGACAGGGCTGGAGATAATCTGTCACGATTAAGTATAGAAGTAGAATACAGAAGTAGAATGACATCACTGGACACTTTAAAAAGAGGCTGGTGCTTGGCATCATTGTTTCTCTCCTGTGAACCATGGTCATCTCTAAAGAAACACGTGCATTGCACTGCACAAAAATGGCCTAACAGGAAAGAGAATCGCAGCTAGAAAGATTGCACCTCAGTCAACAATCTATTGCATCATCAAGAACTTCAAGGAGAGAGGTTCCATTGTTGCCAAAAAGGCTCCAGGGTGCCCAAGAAAGAACAGCAAGCACCAGGACAGTCTCTTAAAAGTGTTTCAGCTGCGGGATCCGGCTGATATTCTTCAAAAGGTACAGGGAGTGGACTGCTGAGGACTGGGGTACAGTCTTTTTCTCTGATGAATCCCCTTTCTGATTGTTTGGGACATTTAGAAAACGGCTTTTTCGGAGAAGACGAGGTGAGCGCTACCACCAGTCTTGTCTCACGCCAACCGTAAAGCATCCTGAAACCATTCATGTGTGTGGTTACTTCTCAGCCAAGGGAGTCGACTTTCTCAGTCTTACCTAAAAACATAACCACGACTAAAGAATGGTACCAGAATGTCCTCTGAGAGCAACTTCTCTCAACCGTCCAAGAGCAGTTTGGTGATGAACAATGCCTTTTCCAGCATGAGTGCTCCATCATGCTGGAAAGCAAAGGTGATATCTAACTGGCTCAGAGAACACAACAGAGATTTTGGGTCCATGGTCTGGAAACTCCCCTGATCTTAATCCTATTGAAAACTTGTGGTCAATCATCAAGAGACGAGTGGACAAACGAACTTAGGAATTCTGACAAAATGCAAGCATTGATTGTGCAAGAATGGACTGCTATCAGTCAGGATTTGGTCCATAAGTTGATTGAGAGCATGCAAGGGAGAATTGGAGAGGTCCTAAAGAAGAGGGGTCAACACTGCAAATACTGACTTGCTGCATTAACTCATTCTAACTGTCATTAAAAGCTTTTGTTACTCATAATATGATTGCAATTGTATTTCTGTATGTGATGACAACATCTGATAGACACACATGAAAACCAGAGGGCAGCAGATCATGTGAAAATATGATATTTGTGTCATTCTCAATACTTTTGGCTATGACTGTACATTCAGTGGAATATAAGAGTGTGGGTATTGTAATCATAGACAAAGGCTGCTCTAAATTATTCCCCCTTGTTTTTAATGGGTCTCCAATTTTACACAGCAGTGATGTCCAATATTTTTCAGTCTGCTGTAATGAATGGATGCAAGCTCCTGGCAGAAACTTTTCAAAGAAATCCCTCGGCTAAAATCTAGTCAGCAACTAAAAGCTTTAGCACAGATTAGACTCTTTTAAATAAAAAATTAATTAAATGACCAGCAAAAACATTCCAGGAAAGCAACCATAAACATGTTCCTAATAGTGGCTGTTCCTGGAAAAAAATTTGCATGTGTTGGATGCATTCTCTTTTTTTTAATAGGCAAATCATACTCACTTCCTCATCTTTCTTCTTGATCTCTGCTTGCACCTCCTCAAGCTCTTCCTGCCCTTCATCTGGACTCATTTTCAGTCCCTCCCTCAACATGCGCACCCCAAAAATGGCAAACAAAGCAGTCGACACATAGTATGTGTAGATTCGAGGGATGATTGTAGTAGCATACCCAAACAATACTGAAAAAAGAAGGGACAGTTTTTTATTGCCATCAAACAATTCAATGATTCTCATTCTGCATGATGGTTAAAGAGTTTGTGATAAAAACCTGAAAGGCAAGTCATGACCCAGAGGGCCAGTATGGCCCCTGTCAGCACGGTGAGGCGATTATAACGCATGGCCATGATGGCTGCAATGAAAAAGGTCTTATCCCCCAACTCTGAGACGATGATGACAGAAAAGGAGGCCACAAAGGCATGGATGAAACCCAGGTTTTCTTTACTGGGGCCATTCTCAGTGACGATCGGCCCTGCTGGATGGGGACTTGAGGCTTTCTGTGTAACAAACATGGAAAAAAAATAAATAAATAAAACAATTTGGGATGAATGAAGTATTTTTTAATTGAAAAAAAAAATAAATAAAAAATCAGCTTACATGAGAAAACACATAGTAAACAAAACTCGCGAAACTGTGTGTTTGTGGAACTAACTTAAACCAACCATAATCTTTTTAATTTAATTAACTTTAATGTTTATTTTTGAACCTATAAACAAGCTGTAAAAGAGGTTTGTCCACTCTCTTGGCATAACTTCCGGAAAACGTTGATATTTATGGGTTAGCATGTGCTAGCTTTTAGGTGCTAGCAGTTTCAGAGCCTTGCCACCGGCCTTCGCATGTTTAATCGGGCTAGATAAAGTAGAATTGTACCTCCTGTTGGGGCTGATCCTGCATCGCTTTCTGCTCATCCTGAATAGCTGCAACTCCGACCGACAGCAACAACACGGCGGCGAACAGAAAGGGCAGATTCCTGTTAGCCGCTCCATCTCTTCCTCCAACCAACACAGGCATTATTGCTACTCAAAGCGAGCCGACACGAGCTGTAGGACTGTTTCTACCCTAGAATTCACTTCGTTTCATCATAAACAATAAGAAAAAAGTTCATTTTGACGGACTCCTCTGTAACACGTCACGGTGAAACCAACTGGACCAATTTAAGAGGGAAGTACTCTATAGAAGTACTAATGTCGTTTCCACACTGGCTTAACACAGCCGACACCTGATTGGACAAACAGAAGAGTGACGTTTCACGTATTTGATGGCGAACTAAGTAAAGAGTTCTATGATTGGATACGCTTATTGTCCGCATTTGCTCACATTTAAAGGGAATTTGTCAGAAATTAAACGAGGACAAATTTCAAATAGGAAAAAGCGTATATTTGAATTTTAAGATGTTCTAAATACGACGAAAACATCTAAAAATAATTATAGAAAAGTCACTCTTAAAAAACCGACTTTTAAATCACAAAGAGCAAAAACTGTTAAATGAAGTTATAGACAGCCTTATATGCTGCGGATTAAACGTTTTAGACTGACACAACCAGGCATGTCCTGAATATTAAAGCTTTAGCATAAATTGATCAGTAGATCAACCTAATGTGTAACCAAGTAAGGCAGAAATTATAGGTGCAAATTGAAGAATAACGTAAAACGTGTGCAAAAATAAACACAATCTCTACAAAATAATAAATTCAGGAGTATTAATATTTCTTGATTGTAATTCTTTTTTCACAACATATTGTAATTAGATAATTAGCTGTCTTGCTCTTACTAGAATTAAGATAGTAGAGCACATAATCCCAGTTCTGAAGTCCCTACCCTGGCTCCCCTCAGCTTAGAGAATAGACTTTAAAATCTTTGTTAGTCTATAAATCACTGAATGGTTCATCTCCTCTGTACAGAACAGATTTGTTGTCATTGTATCAACCTCCCAGACCACTGAGGTATTCTAGTTCAAGTCTACTCTGTACACCCAAAACTAGAGCCAAACATGAAGAAGCAGCATTTAGTTCCTATGCTCCATTGATCTGGAACAAACTCCCAGAAGACTGTAAAAGTGCTGAAAGCCTGAGTTTTTTTTTAGGTCAAAGTAAAAAAAAAAAAAAAAAAATCATTTTTTTTTTTAATCTCCTTTTGATCGTTAAACTGTTAACTGAGATGTCATTAGTCTGTGGTCCAACTGTTTTGTTTTATGCACGTTTGTTTTTTTATCTATGTTTTTCTTTTATTTTCCTTCTATTTCATTGTTTGATTTATGCAAAACACTTTGAATTCTTTGTACAGAATTTTGCTTATAAGAGCTCTAATTGTATAAATTAAACATTCACAGGCAAATCATGCTTAATTACATTCTAAATACTGTTGTCACAACAAAAAATACCCCAAAATATGCTGATAAATTCTATATGGTCTATACTACTAGTGACTGTAAAGACGTCTGTATCTTATACTTTACTGTCATAAATCAAATGCCTTTATTACTAAAGGGAAATAGCATTTAAATAGGTAAGCATCAATATTCATATTTCTAGGACATTGTAGATTCCTATGTTGATATTCTTTAGATTCAACCAAGACTGTATAGTTTGTGCAGCTCAAACAGATTGGACTGAAAGGCCAGCTTCTGTTGTTTCCATACACCAGCTCTTACAGCGTCACTGTTATATGACCCCGACAGCCCAGTTTACTCTTCGGTTTCACATGACAGGTCAATGATAATGAACTAAGAGCTCTCTGACCTAGGGCTTATTTTGAAGAAGTGTAAATAAAGGGTTTGCATGCACCCAGAATGCATGCTTAGAAGCACAATCTGTGGAGTTTGAAAAATACCTTTGATGAATCCTGAAATTTTTATGAATTTCTGTATTTAAAAAAAAGGTATTTTAGGATTTAACATTATCCATGAAATGGCAGATCCACTGTAGAGACTGAACCAAAATATATCTTTCTGTTTAACCTAAAAACAAGTATTGTCAAGCACAGTATGCAGGTCTAGATTAAACAGAAATCCACTCCAAACTCATAAAAAACTCTTTTATTAGCCACAGTTTTATAAGAGTTGTATTTAACCTTTCATTTGAAGCATTGTGGCCATCAAAGAGTTGTATTCTGGTTTCACCTTTTTGACAGCAGTTTTTTGTAACCCATAAGACCTAAGCTGTTGTTCCTGCTGTCTCGGAGCTCCATCTTAAGAACATTCAGCAGCATTTCATTGTTTTTTTTTCAGACAATGAAACTTGAACACCTCCTAGAGCAGATTGCACTGCCCCACTTGTAGATCCAAGAGTTTTTGAAAATTGTAGATCCAAAAATCTATGAACATTTTATGACATCTTATTTAAAACAGCAAATGTGTGCTCTGAGCCTGAATATTTTTATTTTCTAAAAGGCTAGTCACTTGTACTAATGTAAACATTATTCCGTAAAAGTTTAAGAAACAATCCACTGGACTTGGTTTGCAAGATTTTAATTCAAATCTTGGAAACCAAGTCCAGTGGATTGTTTTTTAAACTTTTACAGAATGACTATGACCTGGATGACTGAGAATCGTCATCAGCACAATGTAAACATTAGTTTCTCGAAAATATTATTTTAGCTTATTCAATACAGTTAAAAGACTAAATAGCTTAGGATCAATAGCATACTAGTTAATAAATGTATATTGATTTATATTGAAAGTTTGGAATCTTTTTTAAGCCTTACTTATTGCACTATTATGTAATTATGGAGTATTACATAAATCAGCATTATACCATGTGTTTGGTATAAGAGAAAATCAAAACATGGAATTTCAGATAATTTGATTTAGTTTAAGAATACTAAGGGAAAATATATTTATGTTTACTTCTCAGGACCATGAATCTCTGCATTCGGATCTGGCCCACTTACTCTAATATTTCAGGTCATTTTTTTGTATGGATCAAGACTTTTCCAGAAATCATTTTTTTTCTATTTTTTATTTAAATAATTCATATAACAAAAGTAAGGACAAGAAACAACGAATAGTGGAAACATTTTCCAGAAATCTATGTGAGCAACAACCAAGTTGTTTTTTTCAATAAATTGCACATGCAGTTTCTCTATTATGTTTAAGAATCTCCCGCATATCCTCTGGTCTTATCTTCTACTGAGGATTTTCTCTTCTTCTCACAAACATGTAAGACAGATAAGGTCTTGTGACTGTCAGACATTTTTAAAGCAGTAGAGCTACAATGAATGGCTGAAAGCAAATCTCGGGGGATACATGAACATCAGAAGTGTGCATGTGCAGCAAGAGGAAACAAACAAAGATTGGCATGTAGGACAACCAAAGGATAATATGAACATTAAACAGAAAAATTGTCTACTACATTTTTAAGAAAAAAGGCAGAAGAGTAATCCAGCACTTATAATTGGTGAAAAGTTTTTGTAAGGTTCCACTGTTATTTCAGATGGTTTATTTTGAGTGATGAGTTTCAAGTCTCTGAGGTTAGAAAATGTTATTGTCAACATTATGATTTTTAGCCATCAGTTTTCCTTATTTTCTTTTCTTATAAGAGAGGACTGTTTTTTTTCCCTCAATGATCCCCTTTCATGCTTTAATGATTTAAAGCTCTGTGGTTTTAATGATGTTTTGGTCAACGGTTGTTGTTTCACATCTTTTCTGTAAATAAGCAATTGTTAGGCCATGTATAAAACAGGTATAAATCCAAGTCCACTGTCCATTTATTGCTGCATAGCTCTCAGAGCACAAAAGGAATAAATGCTCTTCTGTGCTTAGGGTAGGACTCATACTTGGTGACGTAAAGGTCATGACAAAGTTGTCCTGCAAGTGCCTGGTTGAAGAGAACATACAGGACGACGAGCCACCAGGTGACGGAGAATCTGCCAAGAACAAAGCCCAGTGAGATGTAAATAAGCAGCTCGGCGAAGTAATGTGGGCATGAAACCAGTTCGAACCAGCCTCCCTCTGGGACCCTATGAGCCAGAGTCTCGACCCTTCCTAAAAGGAGAGACACACAGTATAACCGTTAGTCTAGATCATACATTTTAAATATACAAGGTCTCGAAGACATAAAAACCTGGATGACTCTTACATTCCTGCCCCTGAATCCAGACAAAAAAGAAGTTATAGTCTTTGGACCAGAGTCCTTGAAAAAGAAGCTGATTAGTCAGTCACTTCATTTGGATGGGATTAAACTGATCCCAGATAATAAAAAAAAAAAAAAAATCTTGGGTGTTGTTTATGATCAGGACCTGTCATTTAAATCCCATATAAAAGAGGTTTCTAGAATTTACTTCTTTCATCTGTGGAATATTGCAAAAATTAGAAATCTCCTGTCCAGAGGTGATGCTGAGAAACTAGTCCATGCATTTGTTACTTCAAGCTGGACTATTGTAATTCTTGACTATCAGGAAGTCCACAAACTGTAGTTAAAAGCTTTCAGCTGATCCAAAATGCTGCAGCCAGATGAAAATTAAAAAAGGAAGTTTATATCTCTCCTGTCTGTTTCTCTTCATTGGCTTCCTGTGAAATGTACCCCCCCCCCATATATATATATATATATATATATATATATATATATATATATATATATATATATATATATATATATATATATATATATATATATATATATATATATTCAGAATGAGGTATGAAGCCCTACATAACCAAGCTCCATCTGATATCAGAGATCTGATTGTTCCTTATGTTCCTAACAGAGCACTTCGCTCTCAATCTGCAGGTTTACTAGTGGTTACTAGAATTTCTAAAAATAGAATGGGAGGCAGATCTTTTAGTTATCAGGCTCCTCTCCGTTGGAACCAACTACCAGTTTTAGTCCGTGAGGCAGACACCCTGTCTACTTTTAAGACTAGGCTTAAAAGGTTCCTTTTTGATAAAGCTTATAGTCAGAGTGGCTCAGGTTATCCTGAGCTATCTCTATAGTTATACCGCTTTAGGCTTAGACTTCTGGAGGACATAGGGACCCTCTTTACATAATTCTCTATTCTCCCACTCTGCAGCATTTGTAAGTTCAACCTCTGACTTTATGTTCTCTCTGCTGTTTCTCATCATAATAGCTTCACCTGGTCTCTTCATGTTAGTCTGGAACACCATCCTGAAGGGAAATATCAGCTAGGCTGCTTCAATCATTATCTTTGATTATAGATAATAATGTTGCAGCAGTGGTGAGATCCAAAAATGGCAAAGGGCATGTGGCTTTTCTAGAAAAGGCAGATGCCGATTCTGCAGCAGCAATTGCTGTTTTCTTAATGGTCTGCCTCTGCCCAACGACAAACACCACCCCTCAATGTTTTGTAACCGTGGACACTTGGAAATGGAAAGTTTCTTAAACTCAACTATTTTATGCTTTCATCTACCATCTTCTTTAATTTATTTAATTTTTCATGTTTTTATCCAGGGTGTTTGTTTGTTTTAAATTATTTTAAAGATGTAGTAGAGGATATTCTTTTTCCAGGTGAGTCATCAAAATAAGGGTCCCTCCTAATTGTCAATCATAAGGCCGTCCTACGTGCTCATCCCTATTTTCACTTACTCATCCCTATTTTCACTTTCCACTATTTCAGTGGAACTGAAATAGTGGAAAAATTGCAAATCTTCTTTTGGAAAGCGATGCCAACAGCAACTTTTGAACAGAGCGTGCACGAGGAGAAAAGGGCTCGTGCATGCTCTCACATGTGTTTAATACGGGTTCCCTCTTGGGAGTGGGTACAGGGTTGTGCATGAGCATTTTTTTTTTTTATTTGAGAGGGCAGGTTTTTTAAAAAAAATCACAAAAATCCTCCACCATACTTTAGGTTATTAAAATTTTGGGGAACTAACAGTTCACGCTAAGAATCTCTCAGTGGGGGTTTGCCTGCCCAGGCTAAGAGATACTGATCACCTCGGCTAAGGCGCCTGAGGGTCCGGCACTGCAGTCAAATATGGCACTTTCTTATCCACAGTTACTGCACTAATCAGGACATAATTTGTTTGCATTTTAACTAGTTATTGAACTGACAAACAGAAGACTGATGCTATGGGGTGATTGACCAGGCAGTACTGTACTGAAAATGCTGCTGAGTCACTCAGCTTTATTATGCAGGAATTAGAATGTAATTCACTGTCACTGAGGCAAAGCCTGTTTCACAGCATGAACAAATCACATCCTTAGTCCTGCAGGGCAGGCGCTACTGATACTGCAAGTCTCACCATGTCACAGAGGATGTGTCACACAGCAGTTATTGGTGCTCATTTGTTTTTTTCAATGTCATCAAAACATTGGTCTCTGATATTCATTTATGCCCACATATGATTGTGTTTCACTGACACCTATAGTCTTTTCAACCCAAGTGTTAGTAATGGTTGAGTTTAATAAACTATCACAGACTGACCTGATTTTCCTTTTCGGAGCCCTGCGAACAGGACCATAGACTGGTGCTGCACAAGAGAGGCTGCGATGAAGAGAAGAAACCCAGCCGTCTGCATCCAATCTAGCTGATTGAGGTGAGTGCTTGGACCTAAACAAGCAGCATAAGAGTTTGCACCATAGCAGAAGGGCATAAAACAGGATACAAAGAGGATTTGAAGATAATCTAACCTCTTGCCATTTTATCCGAGCAAAGCACAGTCAATCCCAGCACAATGTAATATCCCAGCCCGAACAAATACTGCACCAGATGCATGGACCCATCTGAAAACACGCTGACAAACAGACACTCCAGGAGCCTCCTGAGGGAGTGGACACACAGCAACAGCTGCACCAGGACTGTGGAAAGCTGCGGGGCTACATAGAAGGGACCATCAGCAAGGGTCAGACAAAAAACACAGGCTTTGAGAGAGCAGAGTGTGTTTACCGTGGCCATCAAAGACAGGTACACCTGCTAAAATCTCCATCATCCCAGTCAGCCATGATGGGTAAGGCTGCAGCTGGTGCATGCAGTTAAACGATAACAGCAGAAGGAAGACATTCCAGCAAACAGAGATGGCATAAAAGTGCCAAAACCACCTGTATGAACAAAACAGGCTTAGGTAGGAGTTATATTGTTATTAGCAAATCAATTATCTTTATTTCAAACAGCCAGCTTATTTATGGCAAACTACAATTAAGCTACATTTTACGGATGTATGTAGCACTTTTAATTGTCTGTTACCGTTTAGGAACGTCAAAAACTGTCAACCACTTTGACCGGTTTAGCTTCTGCTTGGTTTTTCCGTAACGAATGAGGTCCTGAAACAATATAAACAAAGTGGACTTCCGGTTCACTACCGGCAGCTGAGTTGAGGCTTTGTGAATGATAAAAGCTACGAGGAAACATAGAGCCAGACATAACCACAAAGCATCTAACGGACTGAAGCTGTCTGAGCTCCAAGTCATGTTTCTGCTCAGCTGGTCGTGGACATTGTTTTGTGCAACAAGGAAAAAACACCTACCGGAAAACGGAGAGTGTGGAAGGTTCCGCAGTCACTGTAAATTCAAAGATTGGGACTCTAGAAGGCGCTCTTGTTTCTGCATCTAAAAACTTCAGTACTACTTCAGTAATACTTCACTGCAGTATTTTATTGGATAGTTAGTGATAAACCATCAAAACAAGTAGCTGAATGTGAAGTTAACGGGTAATTGTTTTTATTTATTTATTTAATTTCAGCATTAAAAAATGTTTTTCTTTCTTTTTTTTTCAAGAATTTTTTTGGTATTATGAAAGCAGGACAAATATTGCTTAGATTAAACATGTATGCAGACAGAAATAACAATTAAAGAAGCTTATAGGAAAACAATGTAAAACACTCCGATGAAAGAATAGAACATATTTTAGAAAAGTAGTTAGAAACAACGTAGAAGATAGAGACATTTACAAGAAAAGTATGAATATATGTAGTATGTTGAGTAAGTCTAGAAAATGGGCCAGAAGGGGTTGAATGGATATATTTATAGAGCCACAAATGTTTTTGGTTATGTTTCTACCACTGTAGCGTGGTCCATACTGCGATGGACATTTTCTGAGATGATCTGTCTCAGAAAATAACTTTTTATTAGAGAGCATGTGAGAACTTAACTTTTCATGTTTAGATATAAATTCTCAATTAGTTTTGGGGCTTAACTTTAGCTGGATTGACATATATTGCAATGAAATATGTTTTGTTTAGAGTAGAAAGACAAGTGAAATTGGGAAGTCAGCCAAGCTTCATTTCTCTTAAATTATGGTATGGTCACATTTTGTGATAAGAGATATCATAATATCCCATTGCCTGTTAAATGGTGTATGTCAAATTAGTGGTAAATGCAAGACTTCTGGAAAATGAACATTATGAAAGCATTTCATAAGATCAAGAAATCAAGAGATTTTTTAAATGTATCTCTGATGTAAGAAAGGACTTCCACATATCAATGGAGACCTACTTTTTCTATTTCAATGTTTCTACCCTGTTTTCACAGACATGCATTCAACTAAAAACGTTATATTTTCAGATACAACCCAGTGGTGTCCTTTCTCTACTAATAACTTCTGGTACACAGATAATAAAATATGTATTTTTATTACAGGCTATAAACAGAATGCAAATTCTTCAAAATGGACCAAAATCTGTGGATATTTGCATCAATAGCATCACAGCAGATTGATGTTTCTAGCACAATTTTGTGGAATCCAGTCATCAGTCTAATATAGGGCTTGAATATTGTGCAGCAGCAACTAAATCTTTGATTGGTCAAACCCATGGATCGCTCATCCCATGAATGATCAGGGGGTTTGATTAAGCCACTTATTTCACAGACTAGGAGCCCCTGATATTATCATGTTTGCGTTTAAACTGATGGGAGAAAAATCATATTTTAAAGGCCAGCTAACCAAATATAGACATAAAAATCATCGACAACCCCAGCTTTGAGTGAGCTTTGTTACCCCAGGTTGCTTCTTCATATGTGTTGTTCTCTTTTCTGCATTGTGGATCTCAGTTGGTTTGTTTGAGTCAAAAACTTGGCATGACATTTGACACAGCAGATTCCAGGATGCCTCTTGGAGAAGCAGCACAGTATCCTGTCTGAGGAAATGCAGACCATTTCCTGTTCTTTCCCGTTTCCAGCTTCCAGTGTCCTTTTCTTTTTTACTGAGCCAAAAATGTCCCTCAATTGGCCCTAAAGAATTGATAATGGTTTTTTTCTTTTTTTTATTGTACTTCCCAAATGTTTTATAAACAAGTTTTCCAAGTATCACCATACCTGCAGATATTTTAAGAAATAATCCAAGAGTAGTTGGAGTTTCTAAATTTGTTGTATCTCCTTATTTCTTTCTGCTTTTTCTCTCTAAGACTGTATAATCTGGTGGGATGTAACTGAAGTTAAAATGTTTAAGTAAAATTAGAAGAGATAATGTCTAAGTTGGTTAAGTTAAGGTTTCTTAACAGTGTCGATCTAAAAAGAAATCCTTACCAACCAAAAATGAATTTTAATGTATTTTTACTAAGGATTTTACCAGAATGGTAATTGGCCTGCAAACACAAAGCACTCTCATTAAGTTTACTGCTTCACCCTAACGCAAGTTATTCACCCATTCACACGGTGAAAAGCTACATGGTGCTGAAACAGACTGACAGGAGCAGCCCCACCGACAGCAGAAGAGGCGAGTAGGTGGATGGAGTGGGGATACCTGCTGAGCCAAAGCCAGATTCTGGTGCAGCAAAAATGAACATACTCAAACAGCTCCTCTTTGAGGGTGTGGTTGTGGTCAGTATTATGTTCTGATCTGTAGAAGTTTAGACGGCTGAAAACAAAAATGGAAAACCGAAGCTTTTCTCTCAACAGGGATCAACTGAATCTTTAGTTAGTAACTCCTAACTTAAAAAAACACACATTTAGTTGATAAATCTATCTATAATACTTTGACCTGATTTTATAGCTTTACACTTTTAAACCCTAAAAAAGATTATGTTAGATATCTAATGCTCATTTAAAAAAAGAGGATATAAAATAGATATCAGTTGAGCTGGTTGGATAATGGGATATAAAAGGCCCCCTATTTGAATTTCAGCCTTCAACCATCTCTGCTGTTAAAGATTGTTGGATAAACAGTCTCACTATCAATGCATCGAGCTACCTTTATATCTGGTAAATGTTAAAACTTTCTAAAGTAATATGAAAATTCTGAATATGTTTTTTTTAATGCATTTTTTATGCCAAAAAAGTGCTGCAACCTTGCGGTTTTATTCCTGACTCGTTCTCCATTGTGCCCATTTTATGGTTTTCCAAACAGCAGTGTAAACGTTTCATACAATTGTTTTTTATTTCTTTTTTGCCTTTCATCATTAGAGGGTTTCATAACCATTCTTTCTACACTCAATTGTCGGACACTGACCTTTAAAATCCAAACAAAGCTCTAAAAAGTCATTAGAGGTGAGGAAAATACAAAACCTTGTTCAACACAAGTTTTCAAAATGCTTATTCTGTTAAAGTTTGAATTTTGCAAAAAATGTTTGTTATATTTATTGATCTTCTTGGAAATGAAAGGGTGCATTTTATTGGGAAGCAAAGAAAGACAATACTGCAGATTTTAAACTGTAAAAAATCAGTATGAGGGAAAAACTTCCGGTAGTGACAGAAATTCAGTAAAGCCAGGTACAGTATATTGTAATGAGAGAGCTTTATATGCCACAGCTGACAGATATCAACCCAGAACTACCATCAAAAGCTAACTGCTCTCGCTGGATTTTATTAAACGATGATGAAAATAAAAACAACTTAACTATATTAAATCCATAATAACTTTGCTTCCACTTTAACAATTATTCAATTATCAGTGTGTAACACGTTAAGTCCCAACAAAATGCTTTATTGTTGCTGTAAGTGACAGAAGTTGGAACAGTTCATGGGGTTTGAATATCACTGACAAGATTAATCTGGTAATGGCCCGTTTACTTTAAGAATTAAATCACATCATTTTTACCATAACTGGAACATATAACCACTCGATAATTTGCAAATCCTGAATTTATGTATTTATTCTAATATAAAAAACTTTACAAACCTCTTAAGTGTCAGATATTCAAAGACCTGTTCTATTGTATATATCTAAATCTCTAAACCAAACCTGACAAATAAGGCCAGTTAGATAATCTGACAACATAGAAAGTTAACATGAATGCACATTTTCTGCTGAACTAACAATGTTTTTGTCATGTTGGGTCTAAGGAGCTCAACCCAAATGCAGAACACCACGGAGGCAGAGTAAAAGTTAACAACTGTTTATTGAGAGATTCACACAATAAAGTTATTTGCACTGATACTGGAACGGGTCCGGGACTGGAAACACAGGGCTCTCTGCAGAGAGGGACAGTTTGATTAGCCAAGTAGCAGATGAGTCTTGACAGAACTTGTAACTGATCTGTACCTGATGGTAGTTCAGACTGAGCGTTGGAGAACCAGAAGGGTCCAGAGACTGAGGGTTCAGCAGAGGGTTTAGCAGCGGCAGGGCCTGACTTCAGACTTGAGAGGTTCAGACCTTGAGTTGATCTCCTAGTTCTCTCGTGAGAACTAGCTTGCAGATAAGGACTGTTGATCTTCAGGTTTGGCTTCACAGAGATGGCAGGCAGGTCTTTGAATGTGACAAAGGCAGGTTAGAATCAGGTTGGCTTTCAGAGCAGTCAGAGATTCAGGCAACAGGTTTGGCTCAGGCTTGCTAACCATAACTGTTTAACACTCTGGCACTGAAGGGAAGTTCAGCCGCTGCTTATAAAGCTTGTCTCCTGATGAGATGATCAGCCGCAGGTGTGCTGGTGGCTTTAGCTCAGGAGACCCAGGGACGCCCTCTGCTGGAGAAAGGTGGCAGATCTCCAGATCCCAACAGTTTTTCCTTTTTTTTCCCCCCCAAACATGATTATCTACTGGAATTTTAAAATAAGCTAAGTGTCAGAAATAGCTTTTTTTTGTAGGAAGAGCTATCTGAGCAAGAAAAAAATGTTTTTCAGTGGTGGAAAGTAACTAAGCACATTTACTTTATTACTTGATTAAGTATGTTTTTGAGTATCTTAAAGGCACACTATGCAACATTTTTCAGTTAATTAATGTGTTCCATAACGTTTTGGATGATTAAATGAGTCATTTCAGGTTGAACAAAGGTATTCTCGGCCGCCCTGGTGGTCTGTGGGGGAAATACCGCACTTGCAATTGCAGGAGCACCGACCCGCACCCACAGGCTCAGAAGTCTCGCGAGAGTCAGTCTTGCTTTACGGCGAGAACTGCTACACGCCCCCAGTTAAAAGCATGCTCGTTGCTAGCACAGTGGCGATCTTTGTGCAGTTATGCTACGTTTACATCGGACGCAGCAAAATCGCGTCTGCTGCTTCATTTTTGCTGCTTGTACCAGTTAGTTCTGACGCGCGGCTGAAGCAGCCTTGCTGCGCGGTGCAAAAGTGTGTCTGACGCGCGTTGGGCGGAGCTTCACTATCCTTTCTCTGCCTCGCAGCTATATTTGCTGTGATCAGTGGGAATAAAGTAGTTTTAATATGTGTTTAAGTGAGAAAATACACCTGAAAACGTAATCAGTGCAGTCAGTTCATTCAGATTATTATCCTGCCTTCAATATTTTTTCTGTCGGAGCCGCTCAGACCCCCACATACCAGCGGTGCGCCGACAGTAGGAATCCCTTCATCAGCAGCCTCTGGCCGGGTCGCCTCCTCGTGGTTCACCGCGGCAGCTGGTAGGTGTTTTTCATCTAAATAATCCAAACTGCATATTCTGCCGGCAGATTTCTGCATTTTAAGTTAATTTAGGCGTCAATAAACTGTTTAAGAGGAGTGATGATAGCCTCTGATCATCAGCGCTGTGTCTCTCTCCCTGCGTCAGATGATTAAACGCGCCCGACGCACTGCTTCAGCAGCTCAGACGCGCTGCACCTGCTGCTCAAAACGCGCCGCGGGACCTTTTGCTGCGCCTTCATGCGCGTCAACCATTGACTTTGCATGTAAAGTCGCTGCTTCTGTCGCACCAGCTGCGTCCAGTGTGAACGCAGCATTAGTCATTCGTTGCGTTCGCCTATCTGCTAAGCTCAAAACAACCGCGCCTGGCTTGACGGGGAAACCAGGAGAACAGCTGTGCATATTTACGACAGTGCACTTTTACTTTTGCCCTCTGGGGGGAGCCTCGCTGGAAAATCAACACCGGTTGCATAGTGTACCTTTAAGTAATTTCTTGAATGGGGTACTAATCACTTTCACTCTATTACATTTCGAGGAAGCTGCTGTTACTTGTTCCTTTTGGTCAGCTTAGTTTTGTAATCCAGTGTTGCTGTTTTTGTTTCTTGAAATACAATTTCAAGAATTTCTGAATTTGGATGCCACTGTTTTAGAGATTTAATGACATTCCAAACTTGTGAGAAACTCAGGGCAGATGTAAATGGTTGTTTATAAATTTGATCAAGCTTTAATTATTGTTATGTGGGCCAGTTATTCAGTATGATGAGTTATCAAAGCAGGGCTGCAGTTTCTTTGTAGTAATAGATTCAACTTTAAACCTCTGTTTCATAGTGAAAGTGTGAGGAGAATCAAGACTGTCCTGTTTTCTTTTTGTTTGTTTTTTTAATATGAAATAAAAATAAAAACATCTTTCTTTATGTTTTTGTAGCATTTTAATGCAGAAGTTGTTACCAGATGGTGTAGAATCTGTAGCAAGTGGTTATACGCATCAATACATGAGGTGATTTCTGAAAATTACAAGGTTCTTTAGAATTACTCTGAAAATTATACAGAAATGCACTGAAATCTTTATTTAGAAAATGTAAAATTTGATCTGTATTTTTGAATATTTAAGTACTTTTAAATACATGTACTTTAGAATAATAAGGTATTAACAAATATGAGTACTTGAATACTTAAACTTAAGTAAATTTTTGACTAACTTTTACTTTTAAGTAGTGTTGCACCGATCCGGAAACCAGTATCGGGCGGGGCCCTGATCCAGCACCAAAATGGTGGTATCGGCGAGTATCAGCAAATAGGGCACGATACCATTTAGAGAGCCAAACATTTATTCATCTTTTGTCACCCATTCAAGGTAGGCAGCAGCTTGACAAAGCCCTGATGGCAATTATTTTACATCCAGGTAGTATGCAGTTCTTCATATATACTAACACACACATCAATTTCAAACAGATGGTATCAGTATGGTATTGGACAATACTGCACAGCCAGGTATCGGGTATCAGTATAGGGACCAACAAATGGCATCGGCACAGCACTGCTTGCAATTGAGTAAGATTTGACTATGAATATCAATACTTTTACTCATGTTCTACTGTTGAGTACTTGCCCACCACTGTAAAGATTAGAAGATATTCAACCTAATATGATTAAAGGAGGAGGAGGGGCTAATCTGTTCTAATATTTAATGGATCTTTGGAATAGTAGAGTGAATAAAGATGAGAAAAGAACAATGTGCCCAGGCACACTAGCAGCCCCTAAACTTCCCCCCTTTATTTTTTGGTATTGGCTCTATAGCTCTATAAAAACCTCTCTATTAAAAGCAGTGCTATAAAAATCATGTAATCTTAAATTAGCCTTTCTTTAGACAGAGCTGGATGAAGACTACAGATCTTTAGTTGTGATATTTTTCCTTCTTTTTTTTCCGTTTTGAAATAAATATTGTTAACAATTTTTTATATTTATGTTGGACGTTTTCCAGTTTAAAAGAAAAGTTTGATGTGAGATTAAGGATACTTGACTTAAAACATCATCATTTTTGATTGTTGTTCTATCTTATGTTTTTCTTTGTCTGAGTCTGGGTCATTTTTTGGGCAGTCACATGGTGCTGAAAGAAGAGAACAAAATGAAATAGCTGTGAAAATATATCTGTTATTAGTTTTTCCAGAACATAATTTGGTGTAAAGTGTCCTCCAGGAAGTGATGGTATAGAGTAGCATAGACAGGCTGGCAGACTTTCCCTACAGAAGTGACCAAGCCAGGAAACATGTGGATAACCCCAAAGTTCCACCTGAACCCATACTATGGTCACAACAAAAGTCTCATCTTATCTGATGATGATCAGAGATTACATTTCCAAATTTGAGGACAAGTTTACTCTGTAAAAAATGACGTCAGTGAATAAAAACAGTTTTTTGCAATATAAGCACAGATTTTATTGTCCTGGGTTCACATAATAGTATGATATTAACATACTTACTTATGGTAAAAAGGGACACAGAAAGCATAACTTTCATCAAATTAATATTTTCAGACAAAATTAAAGAATATATTTTCTTAAAATGAATGTTCATTTTTTTCCTTGGCAAAATCATCTTAAATTGATCAGTTGAAGTGTAGTGGCTTCTAAATACACTTTTCCAACCTTTTTATCACTCTGTTCTTTGCCTTTTATTGTCATATTATGACAGACCCACACAAAGTACTAAATAATTATAGAGAAAAATAAAAATAACAAGAGCTAGTAACTAAATATAGCCCTGCAATATTTCAATAGTTTTTTTTAAGTCACTATGAGTGGTCTGAATTTCTAAAGCACTTTTTAGTCATTTACTCAGTTAAAATCACATTCATACACTAATGCAAAGCTCACTGAGCAAATTTAAGTTAAATGCTTTGTGGGAATAGAACCAACAACCTTTATGTCCTGGATGCAGTGGTACTACAAACTGACATGCTCTGATTTTTAGCACCTTTGCTGGATAAAACTCCATCATTATGACTAAATACATAGATAATATTATTTGTTGTTATAGTATAGATAAATAAACCATAACTTTCAACTGTCTTTCAGATCTGCCAAATATACCTTTATCACTAATTATTGCTGCACTTTTTTCTACCCATTTGCTTAGCATCACAAGAGTTATGTAAAAATCAGGATTATCACATTTCTGACAATCCAGCACCAAAAGTAGGCAACTCAAACCTTCATACATTAGCAGACAAGACCAACATTCCAGTTTGATCTGGAAACGTGAAAATATCTGCCCCCCAGGAACAGGTTCAGCAGTGTGGCTGTCTGTGGTACATAGTTTTGAATGCCCCTCCTTCCTTTCGGGCCTCTCACTGAGGCTCCTCTCTGCATCCTCAGCAGCAGCAGCTCAGAGAGAAGCACGTAGAGACGCGCTGCACAGAGCAGTGACCTCTGGCTGAGTCCATGACTTTCAAACTTTATCTGAAGTGGAAAACTAAACCTCAGTGCCTCATGGGTTCCTAACACGACAGTTGGATATCTTTCTTTTATTGTTTCTCTGAGGTTTTTATTTTTACTTTAATGAGGATTCAGTCCTTGATTTTTGTTGGATGATGAAGAAGGTGATCTCAGCTATTCTACTGCTGGCCGTTTTTCTGCAAATAACTGGTGTATCTGGTAAGATAATGAAACAAAAACATTTTAGGAAAATATTTGATAACAATGAGATGAATAATAACAGTGTTACATATGTTTTAAATGCTGTGAATTATACCAGAAAAAGGTAGATGAACTAGATTTTAAATAATCTGGATGTACAGTAGCAATTAATCCACATATTCTGTCTCCTGTTTAACCTGAACATGTCAGCTTTTTGTTTTTGTGATATTCTCAAACCTTCAGATGTGTTACTGTAATAAACTAATATTTGTGACAGATCATGGTTTTAAATTATGCATTAATATAACACCGCTATAGATGTACAAACAAATATTGATCTCTTCGAAAAATCTTCTTTGTTAAAGGAATTTAATGGTTGCATTAAGTTTTCAAATGTCCGTGATTGGAAAGCAAGATAAGTGTAAATGAGATCTAAATATAAATGTTTAAATTTAGCATCAGCTAATTTATATTGTATATTATTAATCCAAATCTATTAATTTGTGGTTATTTAAAAACTAATTTTAGTTTTTTTTCTGTCAAATATTGTTTTATATTGTAATTCCAAGATGATTACATTGCACACAAACTAAAAAAAGTGTGCAGTTTTTGTGATTGGCCACTAATAAAGATTATTTTCCATACGATAAAGACTTGTCCTTTAGGAGCGCACGGGGAGGCGATGGTTGGCCTATATCCTCTGTAACAGGAACCCCCACCTAGGTCAAACTGTGCTGGACTATTGAGCTTGACCCAACCCATCTTCCCCCGCTTCCTGTTTTGACACAGCTCCGCCATTTTCTGTGGCAGTGGAAAAATGGCTTCGAGAACCAACTTGAAACCTTTAAAAACAATGGAAAGTTGTTGTCCTCCAACTTCCTTCTCTCCAACCTCCCTCCAAACACTTTTTTGTTTCAACATTGGACCAGCTCAATCTTGTCTTCATATAACTCAAACAATCTTCAAAAAAGGACTCTTTTTAGCCTTTAGGACTCTTTTTATGTTCTTAAAACCCCTTTTAATCAACCCATACCACATTTTGACATTAATGGAAGCATTTTCTCTTCTCTATCACATTGTTGCGTTAAAGCGCATCTGTTGGGTTTTCAGGCTTATCTACTTGAGGCTGATAATATTTTAAAACAAGCTTTGCTGTCAGTAACTCCCCCTCTTTTTCTTCTAGCCATCCAACTGCGATTTATGCCTGATCCACCAACTCTCAACATCTACGGCACTCACCGGATGAACAAATCTGACAACCTTGAACTAACATGCAGGTTTTTGAAACCTTTCTCACCATTATTACCTCCAACATTTACCAAATAACGGAGAAATATGCAGTAAAACCTTTTGTTTTGTTTTGCCAGAGGTCGACAGCTCCTGCTGTGGTCCACCCCTCCTACGAGCAACCGCCTCTCCACCAGTGACTGCAGTGGATCAGGGCTTTTCTGTACCACCTTGACCATTACAAACGCAACTGTGAATGAAACTGGACAGTATCAGTGTTATTACAAAGATCTGAAGGCTGAAGACGGCAAGACAGCAGCAGGAGTCTATGTCTTTGTTCATGGTATAATTCCTGGTTTCACTTAATTTCAGGGCAGCATTTATATTAAAATTTGAGAAAATGTTACACTAGTTTCAAAAGCTCAAACAACATATTTGCTAGATCCTTTCAGATACCTTTCCAAAAATGTCCTATTCCATAATTTACTTAATCTGAATTTATAATAAAATGAATGTCTGATGTTCATTTTTACTCCATTTTTAGATTCCAAGGTGCCATTTGTGCCCTCTGAGAAGGAATATGAGGTAGTCTTCATTCGTGAAGGCGAGCGTGTGGTTATACCCTGCCGAGGCTCAGTGGAGAATCTCAATGTTACGCTCAACACCGTAAGAAGGATTTCATTCTGCTTTGTTCTCTCCAACTGAAATTTGGTGACATTTACAGCATGAGGCCCAATTATCAGGGTGAAAGCTGCAGTAGAAAAGAATTTCTTCCTTACAGCTTTCATTGGGTTCAATTGTTTGCCACAATTGGAGTTTTCACATTATGAAACAAATTTGATTAACAGATAAAAAGATAACAAAGCCAACTTTTCCCTGCATAAAATTTACTTGAACTCTAAACCTAACAAGCTGTTGTTCCAGCCTTCGCAGCAACAAGAGACAATAACTGTTCTTTCCAGAATTGCTTTCATTCAGCGATTTAGGAGTTTTGGTCGTGATCAAACTGTTTTAGATCACGTCACACCATCTTCTGCTGCACAACCGAAGTAGCTTAGGGTAAAAAAGTGATGATTCTATGTTTGCTTCAGTATTTTCGAGTAGACAGCAGATTCATGGTTGTATCAACTAAAACAAGTGTTGTGTTTTGAAGAAGCAAACCTGTCCCAGACCATTACACTACCACCATCCATCCATTTTCTGTGGTGTGCTGTCTATGTGCGAGAGGCGGGGTACACCCAGTGGTGTCAAAAGTACACCCATTTGATACTTAAGTAGAAGTATAGATACTCCAGTTTAAAAACACTCTGGTAAAAGTTGAAGTATCAATTTGACCTCCTTACTTAGGTAAAAGATAAAAAGTATGTGCTCCAAAAACTACCTAAAGTATAAAAGTATAAAGTAACCTTTATAAAAACAGCCAAATGCCACTATATGAACTGAAAGCTCAATTTGCAATTATTTCAAAAAATTCTTTGAGATAGGGCCAAGGATGAGGGAGGTCTTGTTGGTCTTCTTCTCCTCTCGCCTTTCAGACATTTCGACATCTTTTTCTGAACCCAACATTGTAGCATGGCATAGAAAATTTGCATTTGCAGTTTCACCTGCTTTCTTCCGATGATTTCCTTTGGCATCAGCACAAATTTGACGCATAGCTAATCAATGAGTGTTTGCGTTATATGACATATGCAATTACACTAGTTTATACTAGATGTGGATGGCGGCAATGAAGGTAGGTCGTCTGTTTTTTCAAGTTGTTTTGGGTTCTTTCAGACCAATACAGGCTTCCTGACTCCCCTGGTAAGGTTAACAGCTCTTTCACATTTTCCTAAGCAGTCTTTTTCTACCCATTTACAAACTGATAACATGCAATAATGTTGTTTCATATCTGTTCTTAATTTTGTCTTTTTTGGATCGCTTGAAGTGGTCAGAAAGTTCTATTTAAGTTATGTGCTGAATCTATCACTTTTATAGCAATAAAGGCCAAGTAAGGCTAGTCAAATAAAACTCCGCATTCCAATAAAGCTGTTTTTTCTCATATTCTGTCACAACTCGGATCAGAGTAGCAGTAGCTAGAGCTCCATCACAGGAAACTGTACAGAAAGAAAAACAGGTTACTGACCAAGTAAATCTACCAGAGGAACATTATAAACACAAGTCACTAACCTGGTTTATGAGTTCAGTCCATGCCCAGAGAACAAGGTAGGATCCAGCAAATGGCCTACCAACCAGATGTGGCGGGCACCACCCAGAGTGTCCCAGGTACTGCAGCCCGGGGGAACAAGCTGAACTCCCAAGACAGGTCCTGGAAACAGATCAGGACAGGAACAGGCAGACTCAGTGGTTGAGGGGCAGAACAGGAAATCAGAAACACTTAAAGGGCTCAAGAGAGCAATCTGGCCCTGATAACTGGATGCCAGCAGCTTAAATAGAGGCAGGAGTAGGTGTATCAGATGAGAGGTCATGAGAAACCAGGCAGAATTGGACAGGTGAATGAAATTAGCAATTAAGCCAGGCATCAGGGCCAAGATCATAACAGAATCCTGATTTCACTAAGAATTATTTGTTTTTGTCCCTCTGAAAAAGGAAATCATTAATTATAGTTTGATATCTATACCTAGATTTTCTCTGTGTCTCAAATTGAAATTACATTTTTTTATGTTCTACAACATTTTTGTGCATTTTGAGAGCGAAGGCAATTGACATCTCTGTAGGAAAATGTCTTTTAAGTTTTAAATAAGACGTAAAATAGTCCCTTTCCCCTTACAAGTTCAAACCATGTTATAGATCCAGAAGAACATTTTCCTGTTTTGCCACATTGATTGAGCAGATTGAGACATTTAAAGTGGTTTCCATAGATGAAAACAAATACAACTTAAATTCTGTGTTGCAGTAATTTACAAAATACTCCAAATTCTTAAATAGCGGTCAAAAGCAGACAGATGACACCTCGTGATCATACATGCTAAAGAAATTCCAGGGCCCTGTTTGTAACACAGGGATCCTCCTACATATTTTTAGTCTCCAACAGCATTGGAAGGAATGAGAAACTTTGTAAAACTGCTGCTGTAGCTGTTTGGATCATTGGCACAGTGACAAAAAGCCTTGTTTTATGTGGGGAAAGCAAACAAAGGGAAAAACACATACCGTTACATAGAGTAAGACTAGCACTACTGTGCTTTTTAAAACATACCTAATAATAAGATGTCCTGATGCTTTCTGATGGGAAATGCACATTGCATTCCAAAAGTATTCATACCACCTAAAAGTTACATTTTCCAAAGCTTCAGCAGAGGCTCCTGAGATTTTATTTGATTAAACACCACAAAGTAGTAAATAGTTATGATATTTAAGGGAAAACAGATACATAGTTTTCAAAATTCCTCACAAATGCAATTCTGAATGTGTCATGTATTTACTTTTAGTCCTGTCTATGATAATATTCTAATAAAATTTAGTGCTAATAATTTCAATTCAATTCAGTTGCTTTATATAGCACCAATTCACAACACATGTCATCTCAAGGCACTTTACAGTTCACCAGGTCATACAGTCAAATTGATTCAAAGCTTTCGATCTAATGAAAAAACCAGATGCATCGATTGCATCAACTCAATGACTCGAGGGCAATCCCTCACACTAAGCAAGCTTGTAGCGGCAGTGGAGAGGAAAAACTCCCTTTTAACCGGAAGAAACCTCCAGCAGAACCAGGCTCAGTGTGACTGGGGTTCAAGGAGAAAGAAGCGGAGATACAAAAGGCAACTATAAAAGGTGGCCCCATCCAGGAAACTCACAGCCAGGCAGACATCTCCAAGCCAACTCCCATGTCAGAGGATGAAGAAAGCACATCCAGCAAGTCACAATCAGAGAAACAGGACTACACTGAAAAACAGGCTGATCTCGAACATCTATAAAAAAAGGTGTTGATGGCATCAGCACAGCTGATATTACTCTCCAGGATGGAGTCACAGCCAAACAGGAACAGACAAAGCGAAGCTACTATGAGAAAAAGCAGAGAAAGCATAACGTCAGAGATCGAACTACCAGAACAGAAAGCCAATGATAATATGATATAATATTATGGCCCTAAAATTCTAAAAAGAAGAAATAGAAATATAAACAAAATCCACCTGTGTGTGAATTGGCCTGTGCATAAACACAGCAGCTCTCTGAATGCTTCAGAGGTTTATTTTCAAACAAGTCTGACTTTTTTTGTGTAATGTGATTTCTATGTCTGTTTCTGTCTCCTTGAACCCCAATTGGCCTCAGCAGATGGCCGCTCACACTGAGCCTGGTTCTGCTGGAGGTTTCTTCCTGTTAAAAGGGAGTTTTCCTCTCCACTCTCACTACAAGTATGCTTGGTGTGAAGAATTGAACTGGGTCAATGAGTCGATGCAATCAACTGGTTTTCCTTGGGTTGAACATTTTGAACCAGTTTGACTGTATGGTCTGGTTGAATTGTCTCTGTAAAGTGCGCTGGGAGGATATGTGTTGTGAATTGGCGCTATACAGGTAAACCGTTTTGAAGTGAATTGAATTGTGATAGACTTGTTAAAATTGTAGCAAGGGTTAGTTTTACAAATACAAACATAAAAACATACCCCAGCTCTTGGGCTTCATGAAACCAGTTTTCAAACCATCAACTAAATCTGAACAAATATTGCACAACAGCAAACCTTTAATACATTTAGTCTTGAGTTGGTTAGAGTCAGAAAGAAATGGGGCGCTAAATGCACCACAATCCTGAAAAAAAGAAAGCTTTTAGAGGCTGTAACAGACTTAAGAGATTGAAATGGAAGTTAAACTTTGAAAAGAACAACAGACCAAGCAAGTTAGAGCTTCACTTAAACGGTTTAATAAAACCATGAAACCATAAAATCATGTGTTGTAATGTTTATGTTCAAAACTAATCTAAAATTAATTTGGTCTCGACTCATATAATGGTCTATCACATAAAATCCCAGTAATATGATTGTGATCCATGGTTTATATCTGACACAAGGCAAAAGCATTTGGGGTGTATGGACTTTTTTAAGGTGCTGGAAGCTTCCCCATGTTTGTATCACAGCATAATGAAGGCTTTCCACTTCTTTATTTGTCTATTTGGTAACTTTGTCTGTTTTTCAGAACTATCCAATCAAGGAGATCCATCCCGATGGGAAAGACTCGCTCTGGGATCCCAAGAGAGGTTTCATCTTACCCACCCATCTGATAAGCTATGCTGGAGTAGTGTCCTGCCAGACTCGTATTGAAAATGAGACATTCAAGTCCCCTCTCTACATCGTTGCCGTTGTTGGTAAGATAAAAAAGGACAGAGACAAAGATCCAAATATTATTTCTAAACATGATGATCTAAGATCCTATCAGGGATAGAATTAGCATGATAACATGTAAGTAGAGACTTTGTGTTGGCTGGATTTGCACTGTTTCTGAGCGTGTGTAGTCTCAGCAGAACAATAGCAGGTCCACGACTGTCGTGCCTTCCCTCCCTTTTCCGCAGGATACAAGATCTATGACCTCAAACTGACCCCCACTCATCAGAGGCTGTCTGTGGGGGAGAGGCTGGTGCTAAGCTGCACTGCCACCACAGAGCTCAACGTGGGCATCGAGTTCAACTGGACCCACTCTGGAGTGCCCCTGGTTAGTCAACATCTCTCTAAATCCACAGAAGTGTTGTGAATTGATTTGACTCACTGAGGAGGAATCACAGACAGATAACGGAAGAGCTGCCTCTCTATTTCCCTTTATCTTATAAATATTTGTGGCTTCGTCCTTTCAGGAATCCATCAGTCTCTCTTTGCACATGCAGGTCAAAGGTAACCACATGTGTGCTATTTATCCTGCTCAGTGAATAAAGAGCCTCATAAAGATATGTAGTTAGCATATTCACATCATAAGCTCAGGTTTAGGTTTGCATTTTGAAAGGGTAATTCTTAAACATGAATGTAGCTTATTTTTTTTTTCCCAACAGCCTTTCCTACAAAAATACAGTCCGAGCTGCAGTATGCTTATTCTTATTTTAGATCCTCTTGCAGCTATATTTCTGGGTAGTTACCCCTATATTTTGCTCCATTCATACTGGAACATTTTTGAACAGTTTTTCTGTTCCCTGCTAAAAAGCATTCCCAGACCATGTTGCTGTTACCACCGTGTTTTATAATGAGGATGATGTCTTTAAGCATAATGAGCAGAATTGATTTACTTTTACACTTTACACTTTGAATGTCTGAGCAGAGCACATTATTTCATATGCTTGCTTACATCTTGTGATTCCTCCATAAGAGTCAGACGTTTGGAGTGTATGCTAGTAATCCTGTTGCTTGCAGGCTCTCAATTTAGGTGTAAAATCATGTCCACGAAGGTCAACGTTTGTACCACAGATCTCAGATTAATCTAAAATTTGATTTTAATGATTACTTGGAGGTTTATTTTCTCTATGTTTTATGTAAAGGTATGATGGTAAAAGGAATTAAGTTAAAAGAGCAACAGCCTTTTAGATTTTTGGAAGTTTGAAAAAATAAACTCTGAAAATCCATTATGCTTTTTGTGCATTACTTATAATTTTGTTGTTTAAATCCAAATAAAACAATTCAATTTTCTGGCTGTTAATTCAGATAATGTGAAAAATTTAAAGAGAATATACTCTCACCGGCCACTTTATTAGGTACCCCATGCTAGTAACGGGTTGGACCCCCTTTTGCCTTCAGAACTGCCTCAATTCTTAGTGGCATAGATTCAACAAGGTGCTGGAAGCATTCCTCAGTTTGGTCCATATTGACATGATGGCATCACACAGTTGCCGCAGATTTGTCGGCTGCACATCCATGATGCGAATCTCCCGTTCCACCACATCCCAAAGATGCTCTATTGGATTGAGATCTGGTGACTGTCGAGGCCATTTGAGTACAGTGAACTCATTATCATGTTCAAGAAACCAGTCTGAGATGATTCCAGCTTTATGACATGACGCATTATCCTGCTGAAAGTAGCCATCAGAAGTTGGAAACATTGTGGTCATAAAGGGATGGACATGGTCAGCAACAATACTCAGGTAGGCTGTGGCGTTGCAACGATGCTCAATTGGTACCAAGGGGCCCAAAGAGTGCCAAGAAAATATTCCCCACACCATGACACCACCACCACCAGCCTGAACTGTTGATACAAGGCAGGATGGATCCATGCTTTCATGTTGTAGACGCCAAATTCTGACCCTAGCATCCGAATGTCCCAGCAGAAATCGAGACTCATCAGACCAGGCAACGTTTTTCCAATCTTCTATTGTCCAATTTCCATGAGCTTGTTCAAATTGTAGCCTCAGTTTCCTGTTCTTAGCTGAAAGGAGTGGCACCTGGGGTGGTCTTCTGCTGCTGTAGCCCATCTGCCTCAAAGGTCGACGTACTGTGCGTTCAGAGATGCTCTTCTGCCCACCTTGGTTATAACGGGTTGTTATTTGAGTCACTGTTGCCCTTCTATCAGCTCGAACCAGTCTGGCCATTCTCCTCTGACCTCTGGCATCAACAAGGCATTTCCGCCCACAGAACTGCCGCTCACTGGATGTTCTTTCTTTTTCGGACCATTCTCTGTAAACCCTAGAGATGGCTGTGCGTGAAAATCCCAGTAGATCAGCAGTTTCTGAAATACTCAAACCAGCCCTTCTGGCACCAACAATCATGCCACGTTCAAAGTCACTCAAATCACCTTTCTTCCCCATACTGATGCTCGGTTTGAACTGCAGGAGATTGTCTTGACCATGTCTACATGCCTAAATGCACTGAGTTGCCGCCATGTGATTGGCTGCTTAGAAATTAAGTGTCAACGAGCAGTTGGACAGGTGTACCTAATAAAGTGACCGGTGAGTGTATGTCTTGAAGGCATTGAGCAAAAGTGAGATGAGTTGACTGTTTTAAAAGACCGAATATCTGTTTGTTTCTATATTAGATTTTAGGCAGTGGTTCCCACACAATACCCCACAAGAAGAAGCTGTGGGACTCTTTGGAGCTTTCCAACATGCTGATAGTGGAGAACGTGACAGTGGATCATTCTGGAGATTTCACCTGCACAGCATCCAGCGGACAGATGGAGAAAAGGGCCTCTGCACATCTTACAGTTTTTGGTTGGTGCACTGAAAAGAAAAAACTGTTTTGTTTAAAATGTGTTAAGAAATGGACTTGGTATGTAAGAAATCCCTCAGTTTGAAAAACCATGGGAAGACTTTGCTCCCTTAAAGACAGTGGTTGTATTATAAAAAGGCTTTAGGAAATCCCTGAAAAAAAATATTTAAATCCAATTGATGAAGATTAAAAGATATAGAAATTTCTATCATAGTATCCCCACATTCCAAAAATTTGAATTTGAATTTTGTGTGAAATTCATATAAGTTTTTGATCCACGATCTGACGCTTTAATGGGCCCTAATCTTCTTTTACGTCACACTGTATTCTTTATCAGTGCCTCTTATTTTTTGTATAAATGTTATCTCTCTGGAAGAAGGCTAATCTTGTATAAAACAGAAATACTCTTTATATACGCTTTATTATCTGTGCTTGACAGACAAATGATAACATTATAAACTCGTGTGAAAAAAGTCTACAGATGTCTTTTTAAAATTTCTGCTTTAAAAAGGTATACAATTCTACTTAGAGCTTCGAAAATTACTTGCCCCTGTTGAGTTTTCTTTGAATAATTCACGGATTGCACCACAAACTGCATTTTGCTTTAATGGGATTTGATAACATAGGTTCTGGTGTGTTTAAAGGTAAAGGAGAAAGGAAACCAAGTTTTACAATGTTCTACATTGGGAAATTGTGACCTGCATTTTGACACACCCCTTTAATATTATATCCAGTAAAATCTTTCAAAGCAAATAGAGACGCCGTGTTCGGAATTCAGTCTTAGTATTGATACTCCTGTGAAGACTTCATAGGTTTTAAAGATGTCAGATAGATTATTTCTTAAACATTCATTTTTCATATTTCTATTAGTTCCAAAAAGAAACAACAAAATATATAATTTAGTGTTTTTCTTTTCAATTTTAAGATGCTCTGTTTAGATCCGTCACATGAAATACTTGTCTAACAGACAAGAATTTTTAATTCAGTATTGGTAGCCTTCACATGAACTTGGCAGAGGATTTTGTCAGCAAATACTTTTTTGTTCTTCAAACAACATTATTTCCTGTTCAATCTGTGAGATTAGTCGCATATCAATTAAAAGAGGATAATAATATTCTACTCATTCCCTTTTTTTCTGCAGAAACGCCTTTTATTGATATGACAGAACCCTGGCCAAAAGTGTGGGAAGTTAACATGGGCGATCAGAAACCAACGGAGATCCCTGTGAAGTACTCGGCGTACCCAGAGCCCAGCTTAAAATGGTATGACCACAACACAGAAGAAACAGTTGTACCCGAAGAAGGTTTAGTCTATGCTTTGAATATGCTTATTTTGTTGTAGGCCCCCTACAATGTGTGAAGCTGTTACCTGATAAATATTGTAGATTATTTTCCTTTACTTATTCAGGTTAAAAGATGGCCAACCTCTGTCCAAGGAAAACTACAGAATAAAGCACAAGGGTGATTTTCTCATAATCCGTGGAGCCACTGAGGAGGATGCAGGCATCTATACTGTGGTCCTGACCAACAAGATCACTAAAGATGAACAGAGGCGCACCTTCAGACTGCTGGTCAACGGTAGGTAATCTTTGTCTTCAATATTTCTGCTTGAACTTGAAAACCTACACAGCCCGATGAAAAAGTAATTGCACTTTTATGTTTTTTTTTTTTTTTTGCCTTTTTGTGGCTAACATTTTCATATCACAGAAAGACAAACTGATCAAATGCACAAAGCAAAATGGTCATTCCTTTATTTTCTGGAAAACCAATTCTTAAAAATTTATTTCGGTAACCAATAGTCAGACTTGTATGATAAAGATATTCCTTAAAGTCTTAGGGAAGTTTGAATGTCAAATCATTCTGGCTTAAAAATGTATAAAAATATACTCTTTATCAGACGATATTGTCCCAAAATTTCTATAAAAAAAAAAATCCAGTCTTACAATCTGTGTTTTTTTTCCGTTATTTTATGCAGGCCAGCTAGTTATACATCAGCTTGAACAACTAAATTCGGCCAATCATATATGAAGGATCATCTGTCAATCAAATTTTTTTGGTCATAGCATCTTGATTCATACGTCGCAGCTAATATATGCAACGGTTGAAATAAGAAATAAAAATTATTTACTTTACCATTGAGTTTACATATCAGTGTTCACAGGGATGGACGTCTGTGTGTTCAGCAGGCATAGAGCTAACAGAACTGGCAGCGTTGCGAGGCAAGGGCTCCATCATGTGCAGTTGTAAGCCTTCTGCACCAAATCAAGCTTCTACTGCCCTGGCGTCCTCTTCCACAACAACTTCGTCTCCAATTTCCTCCTCTAAATAAAAAATGTATGACGGAGGAGACTAATCCACAACCTCTGACACAAAACTCTCCTCCTCTTGCATGTTTCCGTTGTCCATAGCGTTCCTTGACAGTGTCGTTTCTAATTCACCAATTTAGTGCTACTTGGTCCCAATGTAATTTACCATTGGGAACCTACTAGCACTAAGTTGCTAACTGGTCAGCATGATGCTTCCGAGACACCGGCCACAATCAAACTTGCTGGCAAACCTTCCGCCACAACAACCCCGCCCCCTTGATAAACAACCAATTACACTCACTTTATTCACTTGTGTAAAGTTTGGCACCACTCGGGAGAATTTGGAAATGCAATGGTTGGAACAGCCTTTTCCCTACAACTTTAAACAGATCGTGTCTGAAAAAAGGGGTTGTTGAAATTTTAACTCATCTTACGTATTTCATAAACATAAGAAGAACAATCATCTAGCAGTCGTTGACATTTGTTAGTCTGGGAAGGGATTTATGTAAGCGTTTCAGGCTTTAGGACTGCCGCATGGGCCAGCGGGAATCATTACCTACAAGTAAAGAAGACATAAAACAGTGATGAACTTTCTTAGAAGTGGCTGGCCAACCAAAATTACCTCTAAAGCCCATAATGGACCTATCGGGGATATTAAATGGAGAAAAAAATGGTAAATCCAAAGTTACTGCAAACCTCACTTGGCCCAGTTAAGATCATTGTTCAGGATTCAACAATAAAACAAAGAGACAGGTCAAAAAACGGCTTCCATTGTAGAACTCCAATAAGAAGTCATTTGCAGCAAGAACACAAAGATATGCCTGCATATGTTTAAAAAAGGACCTTTGGGGAAACATGAGACTAAAGTGTCATTTATATTTACTCACCTTCACATCATGCAAGATATTTTTGAGCAAGAAAAATGTACTTGCAGTAAAACATGGTGGTGGAAGTTTGATGGTCCAAGGTGGCTTTTCTACTTCAGTATCTAAATCTCCAGGAAGGCAAATGCAATTTCCTGAAAAAAAAAAAAAAAAAAAAAAGGTAACCTGACTTTGCTGTCTTCTACAGTGCCCCCTACAATAATTGAGAAAGGGAGTGGCTACAGTGATGTATATGAGTATGGAAAAAGTACTACCCTGTGGTGCACTGCCCATGGAATACCAACACCTGAGTATGTCCAGTGGCAGTGGATGTCAAAGGATGACTGCCCAGGAGCCTTCATGTAAGTCACCCCCTTTCATAATTTTAATGTAAGTATGTGTAAAGAAAAAGAAGTTGAAAGGCTGGAGTGAAAGGGATTTTTTTCCTTTAAATTTAGCCACTCTTTGTCAGTAGCTTGTTGGTTTAGTATGGCTGTTTTCGTGACATTGATGAAAACATGAGAATGGACAATAAGAGTGCACTCTGACCGCGATGCAGATCAGCAATTGTGATTTGTTTCCATCACAATGTCCATTTTTAGAACAGCATCAATTATTGAGACTCAGAATGTTCTCGAATGTGCTCAAAACAAGAGTCTGCACAACAACTTTTGCAGTTTCGTCTGGTTTAGGTGGCAGTATTGTCCACATGCATCCTGAACATTTTTTGCAGTTACACAACAACATCCTTAGTGAATACAGCAGAGATTTGACAAGTGTTGATAGAAAGAAGACAGTCTGTGTGCCTGAGAGATGAGGTTTTGACCAGAGAAGGCCGGCAGCTTGTTCCTTATCTTCTGCCTACATGTCTGAGTGTTTCCTCAGTCCAGATCCACATTTCCTGTTGTTCCTGTCAGAGTCACTTTAAAACAGAAAGTGTGTGTCCCTGCTAAAGCAATATCTCCACTTGGTACATTCCTTTTCATGTATTCATTTCACCTTGTAGGGAAACACACTCATAAAGTTTTAACCTCTTTGTTGTCTTGTGACAGCAGTTCATTAAAGAAAAGAACAAAGACTGAAAATACACTTAAAAATGCATAATTTAAGTATTTAAATAGAATTAAATGATTGTTCAATAGTATTAGTTTAATGTCTTATCATTGGTCAAATGCTGTTATCAATAAGCTTGGACCTCTGACAGTCACCTCTAGCTCTTTATTGAATGGTTTTGAGCTACTTCTATCCCCTGTAAAACAGCTGTAATTTTAATTTAATTTATGTTCTGGTTTATGTTCCCTTGCAGAACATAAAGCACAGTTTGTACTTTTTAAACCACACTTGCTTGATAAGCTGTATCCATAGGATTCACATGTAAAATCCAATTTTCTAACTAGTTTCCTCCAAATAAGAAGATTGCTTAACTCAAACCTGTTTTCCTGTCCTTTAAACTAAAAAGTTGTTTATTGTTTGTCTCTTCTTAGTTATTATATTGCATTTTTCACTGGATAAATGAGCATCAATGAAACTTTTACAAGTCATACAAAATACTGTGGCCAAGTTAATAACAAGCAACAGTATAACACCTATTTAATATTCAATACATTGGCTTACTTTGGACTTTAGATTGGATTTTTAAATATTAGTGCAGACACATGCAGCAGAATGGGACCAACATCAGTATATTTATATATTTTAGGTTAAACATTAAGTTCTTATATCTCTGTCACGTTTCAATGTCAAGCTAATCTACAGTAAGAATTAGGCCTACGTATTATCACAGGAGGCACTAGTTTCATGGGTTTTATACGTATAAAGAATAAATTGGTTTGAAAAAGTGTTTCTTCTAGCTGAAACTGTTATTATTTAATTACATGATTTGTTTGTTTTACTTATTTTATGATAGTCTTCAAATTCTAAATTTTTCAACATAATTTTTACCTTTTGTGCTGTCTTTCTGACATTATTTTAATATCAGATGTTATGATGAGTCACTCAGTACTTGAGTAGATGTTTAACTAAATATTTGTTTTAGTCTTTGCATTTTGTCACTGTGCCAGTGATCCAAACAGCTAGAGCTGCAGTTTTACAAACATGTTATAAATAAATATATAATTTATTCTTGTTTCATTCTTGCCTGTATGCTAATTTTTTCTGTATATTAGGCCAGTGATAAACAGCACAGAGGACCAGTCTAAGAACTGCACAGCTTGGAAAAATATCACTGTCAACGGTGTCTGTAATCAAGCAGAAATCCAAAATAACATCGACCGAGCCCAAAATGTAAGTTATTAACCAATTGTATCCTTTTTCATCTCATGTCTCCCATAAATCCTTAACTCTAACTTGTAAATAACACAGGCTAACAACTGCAAACTGAAATAGATTTCTTCTTTCGTAGAAATTTATAAGTGCATTGAAGATTCAAAAAGCTGAGACCCATGCCCTTTATAGGTGCAATACATCTAACAAAGTTGGAAAGGATTCGCGGAACATCTTTTTTCGTGTCACACGTAAGCTATGTGTGTTTTTTTTTTTTTTTTTTTTGTTTCAGTTCATCTTCTTTTTTTGTCCTGAACTCAGTTTCAGCATCAACAGTGACGTTAAAAGGTATTCATAAAAGGTTTTAAAATTTTTGCCACATATAAAAGTTTTTGGCCCCTTTATGAGAGACCAACACAGAGCAGTGGTGCATAACTGTGATTAGGAATAAAATCCATTAATGTTTTTTTTTTTTACAATGTTTTATCATTATTTTATAAGTAGAAATCTAAATGGTGCGGCATGTATTTGTACTTGGCTGCCATGTGTCAATATTTGTCATACCACTTTTATGATTTCACTGCCATTATCCACTCACAGAATTAAGTTTTCTTACTGTGGGACAACAAAATGTGTTTCTATTAATTTCTGTTGCACATCTAGAGCCAAACATATCTAATCATTACTTACAAGATGGCTTAAACTACTTTAGATTGGGCTGGTAAATTGTTGTTCTAATATTATTTGACATTGAGCTTTATCAATCAATTTTCCATTCTCTGTTGAAGATATTACCAGAAATATTACTGCCACAAACAGAATTTTTAGTGGAGATGTTTACCCATGGTAATATGTAGCATAGTAAATTACCCCTAACATTTCATTTTGAGGGCTAAAATAATTTTACTTGGCTGCATCATGTGCTTATGTGTTTTGTCCCTCACATGGCTTATGGTAAACAAAAGATGGGACATGTTATGGCTTATTTGTCTGCAGTGGCTTTCTCCTTGCTGCTAATCGATTAAATCAAACGTTGTAATCTGCACAACATTTTGCATAATCTGTAGATCTCTGTAGCTCCTCCAGAGCCACCATAGGTCTGCCTCTTTAAAAAGGGCTCTCATTGCTTGACCAGTCTGTTTAGAATGATGGCCATGTCTCTGAAGTTTCCTTATACCGTCTTTTAATAATCGCTTTGTTTTTGGTCTTTTTATTTCAACAACCATCTTTTTGCAACTACAAAAGGCAATGTTTTCCACTAGTATTTTTTTTTTTTTACTTTTCTTTCAAGGAGTAAAATGCACTATGTTCAAAATTCACAGCATGTATTTGAACTTGTTTGTTGCGAATTGAATAGAAAGCCTTTTATCTTTTTCTCCTAGTTTATCAGTGCTTCACATGCTGAAAAATTCCCCCCAAAAGCTAGAATTTGCTGTTTAAAGATACCTTCATAAGGAATCTTAGTGGAATAGAATAGCATAAATTAGCACAAAATAAAAAAAAAACAATACAGAAGAATAGAAGAGAGTAGAATAGCATAGAATAAAATTGAAACAATAGAATAAAATAGAGCAGAATAGAATAGATCAAAGTAGAATAGGACAGAATAGAATAGAACAGACTAGAATAGAATAGCGTAGAATGGAACAGAATTGAATAGAATAGCATTAAACAAAATAATATAGCATTGAATAGAATAGAAAAACAATAGAGAAGGTAACAGAATGTTACCTTCTGGATGTTTTGCATTGGAGAAATTTACATGCAACAGCAGCAAAGTCACATGCATTTAACATAAGAAGACTGCAATAAAAATAGAAACAATGAGCGAGGATAAAAAAAAAAAACAACCCAATGAAGACTGTGCAATGAGGGCAAAAATAGTTAAAAGCAACAATATGTAGTTAGAAAAAATGACTGTATATGTAACTGGTGAAGATTAATTTAAAACTTGTCTGACCTGCAACCTGTACACCTTTAGGTGATATAGAGGTGAGCATGTCTCCCTCTGATAAGCCCATGGAGCAGGACGATGTGGTCCTGCGGTGCAAAGCAGACAATCTGCTGTACAATAAGCTGGCCTGGTTCCGTGTCATAAATCAGTCTCCATCAGAGCAGGCTGAGTCTACCCTGCCCTGTAGCTCACTGACCCTGCAGCCCCTGCCTCAGGCTGTACTGTCCATTCTGCATGGCAACATCACCCTGGAGCTGATGTTGCACAATGCATCCCGTCAGGATGAGGGTCTGTATGCCTGCCAGGTGAAGAACATCAATACAGCAAAAAGTACCTGCATTCTGCGCCACCTGTCTCTCAGAGGTTAGTGATTGATCAAACACACTGCATGGTAAATCAGATTCAGGACATAAAAAAAAAAAATCTTTTAAAGTTTGTTGTGCAACTTATTGTCTTCTCTCACATTTTATCTCATATTTTTATCTTAGATCTTGAGGCTGCAAGAATACGTAACAATTTCACTGACCAGAAGGTGAATGTGAGTGCAACTATCACTTTTCACTGTGATACTGTTGGGACTCCGAATCCTAAAGTAGTATGGACCAAAAACAACCACACTGTGGAAATAGGCTCAGGTAGGACAGGCACTGCTCTGCTGCCCGACACACCTTTACTGAGCTTTACCATCTTAGGAGTTTATTAGACAAAACATTTGTTAGACACAACCTGTTCTGATTCATCTTTCAGGTGTGATTCTGAACCGGAACAACCTGACTATTCAGCGTGTGAAGAAGGAGGACAGCGGTCTGTACACTTGCAAAGCATGCAACAGACACGGCTGTGATACTTCACAGGCTTATTTGATTGTTGAAGGTCAGTCTAACACTGAAAACGTGGGTGGTTTCTTTTGCACAGAAGGATTTAAAGGTGCTTTCGATGTTGTTGTATGTCCTAATGGTTGTTTAATGAGAGAGTTTACTGGCATCTCTTGCTATACAGAGCATTTGAAAGTCTGAAAAGCAGCTGATCATTATTAATCTCATAAATATGTCAGCATGAGCCTTTGCTGTTCTTGTTCAAGTATGTCAACTTTTTTGTGATTGCTTTCGTTGTCTCTTTGTGTTTGCTGCTTTCATTCTCTGTTCTTCATGTCTTTGCATAAAAGCTTTGAGGCCCCTTTACCCATTGGGCATCTGGGCCTGTGCCCAGTTAGTCAGCTCAGTGATGTAATCATGGCTCCTAGTGGGAAAAATGTAATGAGAAAGATTTCAACCTATGTTTTTTTTTTATGCGCCCACAGGTGATTTATTTTTAATGGCTGACATCAAAGTTTTTGCACTCGACATAACGCTTAGAACATTTTTGATATCAAAGAGAGCAAGAATAACTTTGCTTCTGCGTGACAGGAAGTTGGCCCAGTTAACGCACATCCTCCTGAGAATTTCTAAATCCAAAACAATGAGGGGACTACAGGACAAAGGGAGAGGCCAGCCCTGCCCCAGCTTCAACCTCTGCTGTGTTGTCTATGCCTTTCTGTCCCAAACTCAGAGATGGAGCAAAAACAATAAAACAAACACATGCTCTAACTAAAAGGTCCTACGTGATCCTATACCCGTAAGGAGACTATAGACCCAGTTAAAAGTTCATATTTTCATCTCTTAATACAGCTTTAATTATGGGTGGTGTTTGACACAACCATGGGTGGTGTGGATTGTTTTTTACCACACATAGGCATAGGCACATACAAACTTAATAGCATGTGCAGAGCTAATCTTCTAACAACCAGGTGCACAGAGGGTTTATATCTGTAAAATGAGTAGAACATTAGGCAAAGCATGTATACCTTCTATAATATGCAGAGCTTCTGCTTATCATTAAAATGTACACAATACTGGTAGGAAATTACGCAAATATAAAAACTTGCACCCACAACGTTATTTATCAAACCTGAAATGTATTGACTGTTCAGTTTTTGGATCTATATGAAGCATGTTCGACAGATGTTGGTTAACTTTCCCCTTTAGAGTATCACTGGAGCAAACCTTTGTTTTAGAAAGGAACTACCATTTCCAGTGGTGCACTGGTACTTCACCAATTCACCAGTAAATGTTTGATGATCAGCATATGATCATCCCTCATGAAGGCAAACTCAAAATTTTGGTGCCTGCTTTTCCACTTATTTAAAAGACAAAAACCCCTATGTGGCTGATTAGTAGTTCAGTTTTGCGTACGGTAAGCTATCAAGTTTGTACATGTTTTTTGAACATGCAAACCTTTAGTAGATAAGAGCTGCAGTGTTTTCCAATGCTGGTTAGACAGTTTGTGTTAGGCATGATTTGAAGGCTGGATTTGTGGAGTGTATGACCTTAAGTTGTGCCGTGAACATAACATCTCTTCCAATCGGTGCTTAGAGTTATTGTGTATATTTATGTAGGTTTACAGCTGTTACATTCTGTTTTTTTTTCTATGAGCTGATGATAGATTTAAGGGAAATAATGTCTTAAGCTCCTCCAAAAATATCTGGGAATTTAACAAAAACAGCTGTGTGATTAAACCACCTACATGTAGACACTGATTGTAGACACTAAAAACACCCTTTTGTTGTTTTTAATTTAAGTTATACTTCATTTTGATCTGTCACAAAAATGTCCACTGAAGCATGAGATTGTTCTGTAACAAAAGGTGAAAAAGAGAAAACCATACTACAGGAAGACAATGATAAATAACAAGATCTGATTTACTTTTCACTTATAGTGCAATTTTAAGTATCATTTTAAGTATATGAAACATTTATAATAATCAGCCAAATAAAAAAATGATATGTATATTACATAAATAATGATAGTACAATGATAAACACTGTATACAGAGCACATCATTCAGCCAGCTAAGGATTACATTAATTTAATTCATGCATTAACCTCTAACTGACTTATTTAAGAAAAGGACGGAAGAAGAAACACTGTGACCTCAATCTTAGAGCTATAGGAATAAAAATCTTTGTCAATTCAATCAGTAATATGAGTGACATATTAATTGTTCTTTGCAGGAATGAAGGAAAATCCCCTGATATCCCAGGCTACCCTTCCCATAGAAAAAAGAAAGAATGCACATAACTCCCTGACCCTGTCTCAAACACCCACACCAAAAAACAAAACATTCTTCTACACCCTCCACACTATGTGATTGTGAAGTGAAATGTTCTGTTGTAGTAGCTAGTGAGACCCTACTGTTTGTCTGATAGGCCTTTTCCAAGTTGTTTTTGGCCTAAGCTCTCCTCTATGACTCCAGATCATTTGTTATGACTGGATGAAATATCAGTTTGCTCACAGTCCAGATTCTAACAGTCTCCTTCCTTCAATCAAAACTAATATATAAACACATATACAAGCCAATTAGAATGACAAAAAACGTACTGAGTATCACGCAATGCTGCAAAGAAATACTACGGAAATCCTAATCATCATTCTATCTCTCACAAAGACTGCTTTTCAAACACAGTGATTTTATACTTACCTTTGAACTGTCATTTATATTGCACTTTTTGTGTATATACTAGGTGCAGAGGAGAAGACTAATGTGGAGCTGATTGTCCCCATTGGCTCAGTGGTTATCGCCATGTTTTTCTGGCTTTTGATCGTCTTCGTCATCCGTGGACGAAAGAGAGTAAGTCATTCCCTCTTTCTCAGTGTTCATCACCCATTTGCCACTCTATTCTTCTAACATATAATAAGGACAAATTAGCAGAGTACACTCATATGCAAACGTACACACAATTAGGACAGGTGTATGATTAATTAGAAGCGACTGCTTTGGGCCCCGAGAGGACACTACTTTGTATCCAGGAACAACGAGTCCACACTCAGTTCCCATCACGTAAGCCTGCAACAGTAACTGGGCCCCATTTATCTGAATAGCAACAGAGTCACTGAAAATCTGCCCGGACAGTTTGAGACAAACAGCAGCTTATTAACTCTTAGTTTTCCTCTTTGCTCAACTTTTACATTTATTTGATGCAATTTCAGCCAACTGGAGGAGACCTAAAGACTGGCTACCTGTCCATGATTCTGGATTCGGAGGACATGCCCATGGATGAACAGTGTGAAAGGCTCACATATGACGCAAACAAATGGGAGTTTCCTCGGGACAGGCTGAAGCTTGGTATGATGCCATTATCATTAAATCTGGAGAGCATTGCCCACCAGTTTTGGTTAACACCAAAGTGAAAGTGTATTATGCGTGAAGATCACATCATGTTGTTGGAACATTATTTTACAAATTAGGACAAACAGTGCAGTGTGCGGGAATCAAACTCAAATGATTCACTTTGTTAGCCCAACACAATACCCATTGAAGAAGTTGATAATCAGTCTGCAATGAAAAAATGTTTTACACAATCAAATGGCAAAGCGATTAAACTGCTTGCCAAAGTTCCTCCTTTGTTAGTTGTCAAGTGAATAAAAGATGACCTGATTTCCAAAAGGGAAAGAGAAAGAAAGCTGCTTTGAAGAAATTTCAGTCTTCATAGAATATTCGGTTAACCCTTAAGATTCTCTTATCTTAAGGGTTTTACAACTTTAGTGGTATACAAAACAGTAATTTTCATGGCTTGCCTTGACTTTTCATGTTAAAACATTTCACTTTGGTTTCTTATGACACTCAGTTAGTATTTAGGAAGTATGTTAAATATTTTTCTTTAAACTTACTCTTGAGCCGTTCAGTCTGTACCACCAATGCCTTGCAGCAATACGATCCTGAAGTTAAATTCTGGCCTAGGTCTTTTGCATTGGGTTTGCAACTTATTCTAGTAGCCTATATCTGTATTGATAAATATCAATTATCTTCAATACTTGCTTTTTCTTATTAAGGGATCAGGACGAGGGTTTGAAAAAGAGGTCTGTGTGGTTGGTAAACATCTACAGTGTTTTGTATTAGTTAAAGATGCATCACATGGCAATAACTAAGATTCACAGAAGATATGAGCATATACTTCCAAATAAGAGAGGTATTGACCTTCCAATACCTACTGTAGCATGCATATTATTTTGGCTGTTGGAAAAAGATGGCGGCATTAAAAATGGACAGGGAAAATTTGCCATCTCCAAAATGAAACATGCTGGACTTTTTCTGATGCTGTGAGAGAGGAAATAGCTATGTGACCTGGTTTTTCCATAATTCCTGTCTATCAGCATTTCTTATTATGACCTCTGGCTCTTACATCTAACCTGAAGCTTAGGAAAAAGTTGTATGACTCCTGTAATGCCAAGTCCATCCCAAAATTTCAAATTGGGCCTTAATTGTTTTTTGCTAAAGCGACAGTGGAGTATTTTCACTAATCTTTGAAAAGACCCACCCTCACCACTTTCTGTACCCCCTCCAGAGAGGGAACGCATATTAAAAGTGCCCGTTTCTCTTCCTGCACACTGTTTAAAAGTTGCACTTTGCATCGCTCATACAAGCTTACTTTCAAAAAGAACATTTTCTATTTTTCCACTATGTCAGACTCACCACCGGTAAGTGAAAATGGGGACAGCCATGTAGGACGGCCTTACTTAAACATATCACCAGAATGATTGCCAATTAAGAGGACTACATATTTTGATGAACCACTGGGTAAAAATCATCCCCCACTATACCTTTTAATGAAAAAAGAAACTTGCAAGTCCTGCTTAAAGCGTTGAAAACATATCAAGTCTTGATTTATGTCCTCAACACATGCAAAGATGATGAATAAATGGTAAATGGTAAATGGCATGTACTTATATAGCGCCTTTATTCAAGTCGGGAGACTTGACCAAAGCGCTTTACACTACATTCATTCACCCATTCACGCACACACTCACACACTGATGGTGGCAAGCTACATTGTAGCCACAGCTGCCCTGGGGCTCAGGGACAGAAGCGGGGCTGCCGTACACTGGCGCCACTTTGACCACCATCAGTATACTGCAAATACTGCAAGGATAGTGCTGACTACTAATTGTGATTCCTTAATGTTGATATAGGTGAACCACTGGGACGAGGGGCATTCGGTCAGGTTGTTGAAGCAGCTGCCTTTGGCATTGAGAAAGCTACTACATGCACCACTGTTGCAGTCAAGATGCTGAAGGGTCAGTATTTTCTCTTAATGTTAAAAAAAAAACTAAAACTACCAAAAAGCAAACAGATCCCAACCTGTTACTGCATTTAGAATTTTTAAACACAAGGAGTTTGGCCTTTCTGTTACAGAGGGAGCTACTTCCAGTGAATATCGTGCCTTGATGTCAGAGCTAAAAATTCTCATCCACATCGGTCATCATCTGAACGTTGTCAACCTGCTGGGAGCTTGCACCAGGCCCGGAGGTGAGTCAAGATTTATTTCTTTTTTGTGTATACAGTGATGCTTTTTGCTTTTCTTTGTCTTGCATATGGGATGTAAAAGTGTTGTTGGATTCATATTTTTAGATGTCAATAAAGCATTTCACTCAGTCCCATCCCACACTTTTGTGTTTCTAGGTTGTTTAGTTTTTATTGTCCTGACATACACAAAGATTTATTGATTTTCATCAATTTCCTGCTTTAAGGCTGTTTTTAACTGTTCTACAAGGATCTGTCCTTGGCCCCCTATTATTAACTCTTCACATTAAAGAGAAGAGAAAGTGTCTGTTCTCTAATGGTAAATATTACATTTATGTAGATGGTTCAATAATGAAAAAAGTACCAATAAGACATTGGATCCCAAAAGAAAAGAAAAATGAACTCCATGGTTAATTTTAAACTTTAGAGTGGTGCTCCTTGCAGCTTTCATGTCAAAGATGGCTGCTATTGTGAGCTAAAAAGTTAGATGTTTTGTTATCAGTTTCATGTGCCAATCATACTACTTCAAAAACATTAACATTTCTTCTCTGCATTCTCAAAAGAATCTTTCATTTGATAAAAAAAAACATAAATACAAACTTAAATGTTTGTCTTATTTTCAAAATTTTTATTGATCTTGCTTCTCCACTTTGTGTTGCTTTAAGCTTAGACAAGAAAAAAGTCCTGAATCTAAAAGAAAAGAGTATAGTGAGAGGTTTTCTCCATGTTTAATTATCGTATTAAATATATCTCTTTTCTTTTCTTTATTATGTTTATACTCTCACTGTGTTTTTTTGATAATGGTAATTAATATTTATATAAAAAGTAATAAAAAAAAAATCTACTTATTTTGGTTTCTTTTAGCGTTTGAATGTTGTTTGATATTTATTTTTTATGTTGGATGTTTTATTTTTTGTGTCGCTGTTCTCAGTGTTTTTCTGTAATACCTAAACAGGCTTAACAGATGAAAAACAGTCTATTGGAGAACCCTTGGGTAACCTTTCTTATTCCTTTGTAAAAATAAAATCCATTTCTTCTTGTAGGACCCCTGATGGTCATTGTTGAGTACTGTAAACATGGTAATCTATCCAGCTACCTGAAGAGCAAGCGTGGAGAGTACAGTCCCTATAAGGTGAGAGATATGAAAAAAAAAAATGCAACCAGTATAACAAACCCAGCAATTAAATGAGGTAGCCTCACAACCCTTAAACACCAACTTCAAAGCATCTCTAAAATAAACTACATCATTTATGTAGAGTAGGTATGAGCATTGCTTACTTTACCAAGGACCACCATTACTGTCAGTTTTGAATTAGTCACAGAGGGTCAAGCTGTTAGCTAAATAAAGTCAAGCTCTTTGTAGCCCTGTCAGCTTTAGATGTAAAGGTACAATTTCATTTAACAAGTAGTGGTTTACTGATTTAAGATAACACAGACAATTCGCAGAATATAAAATATTGAAGAAGGGGTGTCATTGTGCGTAAAACATAATTAAATTTGTTGTGTCTATATTTAAACATACAAATGCCATGTCCAAACATCTAGAGCAGAGCTCACGGATTAGCCGACCAGGGTCTGAATCTGGACCCACCTGCTGGCTAATCCGGACCCAACCCATTTATAAATTATTGCATGTTTTCTGACGACAGTGTCTAGTTTCACTTGCGTCGCTTCGCCTGTTAATATGGTACAGCCCTCCGGAGAATCCGGGACCAGGCTACATGCGATACAAATTAGCCAATGAGCTGTCTCAGTCCGGGCTGCTGCTGCGAGGCCCCTTTTAGACACAGGAGGGAAACCTGTGGCAAGCCGGGCGACGGGAAAGAAGGAGAAGTAACAGATTATAATTAAAGATGTGTCCGGACCTTAAGTGGTTGTTGATTTTCTTTATTTGGACCCCACTGATATTTAATTGGCTACCCCTGTCTAGGGATTCCCAGGACAAAGTTTTTTTTTTCTCCAGACAGCCTGATGTCTCTTTTAATGATTATTTTTGGTTCCTTTACCCCTCACAGTGCTAGCCCTGCCAGGGCAGGTGTCAGTGGAGCTTCTTCCATGCCATCTCAGATTTTCCACCATGCATTGATGTAAATGTAACAACACCTTGTATTCTGGCCATTGGAAAGATTTGCAGCCCTTTCCAGAGATATGAGCTGCCAAAATATTCAGCCGCTCTTTGGATTTAGCCATGACTTGCCACAAACACACAGCAATGAACTGCTGTGTTTCACTGTATGAGTAGTGGAAAAGAAGGCCTCTTTCCAAAAAGCCAAAGTAAGGAATGGCTTACCTGTATTTTTTCAGTCAAATTACAATATATTCTTTAAATTTATAATTTCTTGACTGAAATCCATTGAAAATGACTGTATAATGTTTTAGCAAACATACAGTATATATGTATTTCAGCATGGAGTAAGAATGTTATTAGCATAAAAGAGGAAATAATGTGCACTGCAGAAACCCTGAACAACAGCTTTGGTTTGATTTAAATAACTGATTTTCCTCTTTCACTGTGTTGAACAGAAAAAGCAGGTCAGTAACCAGAGATGGGCACCCACTGATGAAGATGTGACGGAAGGAGATCTTGGATTGGGCAAAGTCGCCCAGCTGGATATATGCACTGGAACAGCTGAGGACAAAACTTCATGGACCAGTAGTGACCCTATAGATGGTTGTGAAATGTCTCACAATGCTTTCATTTTTTCTCCAATTTCGTGCTGTGGCAGTTTAAACATTGCTCTTTATTACAATTTGGTTCCAGAGAGCTCTGTTGACGATCATCTCACCATGGAGGACCTAATAAGCTATAGCTTCCAAGTTGCCAAAGGAATGGAGTTCCTGTCTTCTCGAAAGGTAACTGTCTTCTCGAACTTGTCTTTTTGGTATGATTTAGAGAAATCTAGATTAGTTAAGTCTGTTTTAATTGCTTTGAATATAATGTCTTCTGTTTCGTCTGTAGTGCATTCACAGGGATCTAGCAGCAAGAAACATCCTGCTCTCAGAAAATAACGTGGTCAAAATATGCGACTTTGGACTTGCTAGAGATGTCTACAAAGACCCAGACTATGTTCGCAAGGGAGATGTGCGTATGCTAAACTTATATTTAGAATTTAAATCATTTATATACTATAAATGGTGCAGTGAAACATAAAGTGTTGTTATTACTACAGGCCCGTCTTCCTCTCAAGTGGATGGCCCCAGAGACTATTTTCGATCGGGTTTATACAACTCAAAGTGATGTTTGGTCCTTTGGAGTTCTCCTCTGGGAGATCTTTTCTTTGGGTACCCCTAACACTACACATAACAAGGTAACATTCTTACATAACTTTATTATTGAAACAGCATTTATCTCACAGGGGCTTCTCCATATCCTGGCGTTTGCATTGATGAGTCCTTCTGCAGGAGGCTTAAGGAAGGCACGAGAATGAGACCTCCGGAATATGCCAACTCTGAAATGTGAGTTCAACTGAAAATTACTGCAGAACAGCAGACAATAAGGTATGCCTCTTTAAGCTGTCTTTCTTTGTGATCCAAACAGATATCAGACCATGTTGGATTGCTGGATGGATCGCCCTACAGACAGACCCACATTTGCAGAATTGGTTGAACATCTTGGAAATCTTCTACAAGCAAGTGCACAACAGGTCTGTTCCAAACAAAACCAACACATCCTGAAATTTTATTTCTTTTATTTAAATTTTTTAATAGTGTCCTGTTCTGGCAATGTAGCCATAAGAATAATTGTCTTGATGCCAAAAAAGAACCCAACAGATTTTGCTTTAACAAGTGGAGCGGTACGGCTATTGCCATAGTGTTCTGCTTGATTTATGCATGTATATAGCTTTATTATAATTCATACAGGGAGTATTACAGATTATATAAACACTGCAATGTAATTAGACCATGAAAGGAAAAACAGGAAAAAGGACAAAAGATGAAAGAAAGGATATAAAAGAGAGATCATTATAAAACGTCTTCAGTCTGCTTCATCACCTGCAAAGAGATGTAAAAAAAGAACAGCACAACCAAAGGATATAGTATAAGAAATACAATAAAGTAGCACCTTGATACTATCGCTGAAGCATATTATTTATTCTGACATATATATTTTGGTAGCTGAAGATCAGAATATGGGCTTTCTGTATGGAAGTGAATCTCTAAGGACCTGGAGCAAAGCAGCTGTTGTTGTTCGTGAGAGTGCACTTGTGCATGTAAAGTTTATCCAAAGGGAAAATGCTCAGTAGTGGCCAGGAAATCTGCCCCCCCACTGAAGGAAGAGGAGAGACGGCCTCGAGGAAATCCCCCAGCCGCCGCAATGCCGAAGCTCGTATGGCAGCCAGCCACCCCAAAGTGGAACCTGCCATGGGCCCCCGGGACCCGAGGCCCCAGGGGTGCCCACCAATGTTGAGTCCACCAATGCACTGGCGGATCATTCACCAGACATGGGCAATGTGGAGTCAACAAGTCATCTCCATTTCATGTATTTGTTCTACCCTGTGCAGATTGGACTCACCTGGTTAATTGGCTGGGTAGATTAAATACATGACATGGAGATGACTTGTTGACTCCACATTGCCCATGTCTGCCATTCACACATAACACCCACATCCAATAATCCAGGACTGAGGACCCAGCAGTGCCGGTGGCCAGTCCTGGGATTACCGGATGACCCAGTAGCTGAAATCATAATCAAATCTGCTTGTTGGATGGTAGAGCTATCGGATCGGGAACAGTCCGTTCTATTTAACCTCAGTTTAATATTAAAACAGTTTTATTTCCTTGGTCTCCCTCTTTTCTGAATAATTGCTGTAGCTATTACTATGTTTTAAGTGCTGATTAAAAGCAGAGTTAGTAAAATAAAATTAAAACCAATTTAATTGACATGTGGCAAAAAAACAACAAAAAAGCCATAGAGTCATGTATAAGGATTCAGTAGCTCAGCCAGAAAAATAATGACTTGACATGCAAAGAAGAGCCATAAATATATAAAGTATATAATGCATGCACATCATTTCCAGTGTAGAGCATCTTACAGATTTATTTTTATTCCTGGAAAAGATGTGATAAAATAAATATATTTTTGGAAAACAATACGTAACAATATCATTACTGGCTTTTATCCCAGTTTTTGGGGTCCGTGCTTTTTTGGGCGTTGTTGATCCATCTTTTTCTATTAGAGCATACCTTTATAAAGACAAAGCATAAATCTATGTAGATCACTTAGATCCCTCTCTCACCCTCTCCTGTCTATTGCACACCTCACAGGTTTTGAAAAAGATTAATTTGACCTTTGGTGACCCATTTTGTTATCCTTTTGAAAGACTCAATTACCAACCATTTTAAGACTTCATTCAAGGCTGCTGCATTTAGGGAACATATCCTGGAATGTTTTTAATCAGTCGTAGTGTTTTAAAGTCATGGAATGGGATCCAAGAAATGCCTTTAGGATAGAAATGGGCCCTTATTACCAGTCTTGCAATATGCCTTACTGTGTGTGAACCTTGAGTTAATGGCCAATTTATCTTGAGTATTTATTTAACAGAAGTCCGTTATTTTTTTTGTTTGACCAAAGTATAGGGTAATAAGCTAAAAACTAAATATTTTTTTGTGTTGTTAAGACAAAACATGATGTTTTTAACTGTTATGCACTCTAAACAGCTACTTTAAATACCATATAAGTAGTCTAATTATTAGTGCGTAAACATAGTGAATCCAACACGCCTCTCCATCATGCAGTTCAGGATTTTACTCCTTTACCATTCTCACACTTAATTCTTGTTTATCACATTTTATATTTAAACCTTTTTCTTATTGTTCTGACGTTACATATAGGGAAGTTTAGTCCGTCTGGTGTTTGGTTTCCATGTGGACCATAAAGGTGCACAATAATCCAGGTGACATACAATTAATGATTCAGCCAACTGCCCAACAATGCTTGTAGGGACATAAGAGAGACATTTCCTCACTATTAGGAGACCATAACCCATATTCCTCACTATGGTATCAATGTGTCCTTCCCATAACAACTGATTATCAGTTATCATGCCCATAATTTTACTTTATCTACCTGTTCTATAGGTTCCCCAGACAAATTCAAACTCATCTTTGGTGTAGATGAAAGTTAATGACTTCTTCCCAAGATAATCAATTGGTTTTAGAGATGTTCAGTAATCTTATTTCATTTTATCCAATCAAAAAACATATTTAACTCAGCTGACAAAACATTTTCAGGTTCACTAATACTATTTTTACAGCATAATAAAGTGTTTGGCATACATTTGTACAGTCGCTTTAAACCAAAGTAATGGTAAATCATTTAGTGAAGATCATTGTAAAAAGTCTCCCCAGACCAAAATGTATTTGCTCAGTTTAGAGGATGGAATAACCAGAGCTCCAGTGTTGTTGGTAATTCTACAACAAGTTATTAGTTTATAGCTTCAAGTTAGTCTCAAGAGTTCTGTACATTTCTTGTCTATAAAGTTTATAACTAAAATTGCACTTATTCATGTAAAATTTGTTAAACATCTGCTTGTTTGACTTTATAATGTCTGAATCCTGTTGTTCTCTAGGATGGGAAGGACTATATCCCCCTGACAGCAGGTGAAGTAGAAGGACGCTTACTGTCCTCTGAGCTTAAGGGGCCCTACATCTGTCCTCAGAGTGGGGAAGCTGTCGAAATTCACTACGACATCCCATCCTCCATTGGGTCAGCATGAATCTCTCATCATTTCTCAAGAATACAGGATAAAATACACAGTTTGGCATTTTACTGACCTGTCCTTTGTGCACAGACTGACCCAGCAGGGCAAGAGGTGCAGTCGGTCTCTCAGTGTGAAAACATTTGAAGATATCCCTTTGGCACACAGCAGCATAATGGTGAGCAACAACTTTATGAAATATAAAGTATTTACCAACTATAATATTGTGCAGTATTTTGGGACTGTATAGCAGCAAGATACTAATGAAAGCAATGTATTCAGCATTGATCTAAGCTGCACATTTGTTGTGAAATGCAATCTTTTAATGAAATAAGGCTGAATGCGAATGAAGCCTAAACTGATCATGCATGATATATAACCTCTTTTCTAATATTATTTTGGGAATGGACCATGGGGCTTCAATGCACCAAGCTTCTTCTAACACACAGCTTGCTTTCAGTGCCCCATTGTTGACCTCTGATGTTTACTTTTCCATAGTTGGCACTTTCAGTATGGGAACCCCTGCTGATTCACTTGTATTGCTACTTACACTACTTTTGGTACGTAGTGACTGCAAACACCCCATAAGAGCGGAGGTTTCGGTATCTTCTAATCCAATTGTCCCAATTCTTCTCTTGTGAAAGATTGCCTAAATCCTAGCAAGTGCTTCGTTCTTTTGCTTCTTTCACATCAATTTCAAGGATGAAATGTTGACTTCAGGCTAATTATCAGTCACACACTAACAGATGACATGCTGAAGAATTAATTAGTGTTAGTGGCCGTTATATTTTACCTGTCTGTTTTTATACTATAATGGAGAAAGTAAAGCTACTGTTTTCCTGCAGGAGGGTCACACAGACAGTGGGATGGGCTTCTCTTCAGAAGAAGTCAAGCGTTTGAATCACGAGCTCCCAGCAACACCCAGTTTCAGGTAAGAAATACATTAAATCCTATAACATAGGAATTTTGAGATATAGTTCACATATTTTTTCTTTTCCTATCTAATTTGTGTTCCTGTCATGTCAGTCAACTGCTACGCTGCAAAAGCAAAGAGTCCCTGGGATCGGAGTCATCCAATCAGACGAGCGGATATCAGTCAGGGTACCACTCTGATGACACAGACACTCCTATCTACGCTAATGAGGAGGTCATTATGAAGCACAACATGCTGAAGAAGCCTCCTTTGCCCAAGATGGTGGAAAAGTTCAGCACTGAGATCCGCTACAGCACGCCACCCGTCTGACCCTATGTATTCCTCATCTATCTGACCTCCATTTCCCTTGCTGTACAGAATGTATTTACTTTTCACAGGTATTATAATCCAGGACCAATGACAAAAGACATAACTGGAATTGCAGTGGGGTTGAGATATTTTCTTAAAAGGAAACCCAGGAAGTCAGCAGAGAACAAGGAGAACTTATCATATGATACGTTTGTTCTAGGTCTTTTTTTTTGGACAGCCGGAACAAAGGACGTTTACGCAGAATGTAAAGCCAGAGAGCACGCCCACTTCCTGAGGCACAATTCACCAACTTCCTCTGCTGCAGGAAACGTATCTGGAGTTTTAGATAATTAAATCAGGAAGCTCTTTCTTTCATTCTTTCATTTGTTCATTATGCTTTTTTGTGTGTCATTTCGTTGACACAATAAAAGGTCAGTTCTCAGTCTGTTGTTTGTTTCCTGAGCACATTTGTACAGCTCACTTTTCACTTTTTTTGCAGTATTTTATTGAAAATAGATTACTTAACCTGGATCTAATGTAACTAGTTTTATAAAATTTAAGTACTCACATCTGATGTTCTTTAGTGTTTCTTTTTTATTAGCCTTTTGTTTGAGAAGGATAGTGTCCATTACTATTTATGATAATACTTGAGTCTGTCTTGTCCGTTTGTTTCAACCATAAATGTCTCATTTCCTCCGAACGTGCCTTGCCCAAAGTAAACAATTCTTTCTCAGCCTTGGCTTCTCACTGTGTGTTTGAATGCATTAAAGGAACAATGTTGTGTCAACCTTGGGTATTTTTTTAGGTGTGTTGAACTAACAATGCCTGTAATAACCAAACCAAGGCCAATGAGTCGGGATACAGCAACGAAGCTTAAAAACTTAATAAGGGCTAAATAGAAAGTATGATTTCCCAGATGTATTGGACATTTTCACAGAATTTATTTTACTCAGAAATTCTTCTTTTTGTCTCATCACATTTCACAATCTTATTATAAAATAAAATAGACCAACAGCATTATGCATGTCTTATCTGAGTAAGGGGCTGCATTAAATTAGTGAAACAAATCAATTATTTTTACCTTCCACGTCAGGTTTGTAGCTGTAACTTGGGAAAGACATAAAAGAGGTATGAATAATTGTGCACATTCCTTAGCAGGTGAAAGAATAAACATTTAAAGAGATTTTACTGCAGACAGTGACGTTGAGTCTTAAAAGCTTGATGGGGTATATCCAGTCTGAGTAGCTGATGAATGACGAGCATGAGAACAAAATGTATTTTGTCTACAATCAAGGAGAAGCTTTTCTAATTGTGGAATGTTAAAGGAAGCCACACAGACTCTGGGGGATTCCTTTAAACTTCCACCTCTAATAGTGGAGGTATATTTAGAAAGCCCTCCCTGTTCCTGTTTGTGGAGTCCAGATGAGCGGGTTGTGTGGGCAAACTAGACAGGAGTCTCTCTATAACCAATCATAGTGTTTCCTCATTCAGAGTAAGAGCACTGATGTATGAGAAGGTGTTTTTTAAGGTAGGAGGGATGCCTTAAGTCTAACATGACATTTTAAAGTTCTGTGTAATTCAATATCAAACCGCCCTTACTAATGAAATCAAAGATTGTCATTATTAATTACACCAAGTGCATGTATTCCTTTTTAAATCAAACAACAGTGTCCTCTACTGTGCTAGTAGTGTAATTACACATTAAGGCGAAAGCAACGTTTGCAATAAACATTTTACTTTGTGTGGAAGTATTAAGTAGTAATGTAAATACCTCTTGGTCCCTAATGTGGAATACAGTCACGATACTAGAAACAGCACCAGAACAGTAAGTCTTTGATCACAGGAACTCAGAGTAATTTCCCCTGAAGAAGCAAACAGGCTGCAGGGAGAGCTCTGCAGAGCAAGGAAATTACTTGGCATTCAGAAACAGTCTTTGGACATTAAGATTCTCACTGCAGCAGAAAATTGAGTTTCACTCTGTCAACAAGCTCATTTGATGGAGTCAGATATAAAAGAGAGGCAACAAGCTGATAGAAGAATGCACCTGCAGGATTTTTATCAACTTCTGATTACGAGGAAGTGCAAAGTCTGAGACTTCTACTCTAAAAAGAGACAACTGCATTTTTCAGGTCCTGTTTTTTTATTTGTCCAGAGTTTTTGTATTTAATTAGATATTTTATTTGAATAAAGTGAGAGGTAATTGTGTTTGCCTTGTAATATCTTTTGGCACCACTCTTTGCCAACATGTACTTTATCCCTCTTTTACTGAATAAATTGATTAGGTTGTCTTGGGTTTTAAAATTGGCATTTCTTTTAGGTTCTTTTATAGGAAGAGCCTTTTGAGTTCTCCAGTGTTTTTAGCAGTTGTCCTCTTGTTAACATAATAAGGAAAGCTTACTTCTAAATCACCAAAGATGTCAAAGGTACTCACTTTCCGTACTTGAGTAAAAGTACAGATACTTGTGTTAAAAAATACTCTGGTAAAAGTGGAAGTATTGATTAAACTTCTTTACTTAAGTAAAAGTACCAAAGTACAGGCTTGTAAATGTACTTAAAGTATAAAAGTAAAAGTAGAAACCACTTTTTTTCATGCTGTTGCCTACATTTAAATGGATGTCTGCCAATAGGACTAGATCTCCTCATTTTCAATCATCTCGTCGTCCATGCTACTATGCTAACGCCACCAAGCTGCAATGATTTGCCGCAAACGAAAACCGCAGAATCTGTCGATTCATCTTGTAGTGGTGCGTCAAATGCAACGTAGATTCCCATCCAATTAGATTGAATTTGGTATTGATGACGTGGAAATAATAACGGTAACTCCATTGAAATGATTCAAAACTAAAGTAACGAGCCAATTTTTTTAAATGTAAGGAGTAGAAAGTACAGATATTTGTGTAAAAATGTAAGGAGTAGAAGTAAAAAGTCGCCATAAAAATAAGTAGTAAAGTAAAGTAAAAATATCAGAAAAAGCTACTTAAGTACAGTAACGAAGTATTTGTACTTCGTTACTTCCCATCTCTGTAAATCACATGCTAACTGTTCCATTGCAGATTTATCAATGGAGAATCTTTCATGATGCAGTAGCTGGTTCTGTCATTTCCCACGTAAATCACCATTAACTTATTAGTAAATAATCATCATGGGGAAACAGAAGATTGAAACATTCTTAAAATAGCTTTTAAATTAGTTAAAAGTTTTTAAACTAAAGTTGGTTTTAGATTGATGAATGTGTGGCTACCATCTGATTAGCTTTAGCCTTCTGGACCGATTTTCAATGGAAGAGAGAGGAATTTATAATTCGGATATATAATCTGCGTTATAAACTAACTGTCATGATCTGTAGGTTACATTTAGATTTGATTTGGTTCAAGTATTTCAGCCACTTTCTTACTGTTCAAGTATTTCAGCCACTTTCTTAATGTTTCACCCAATATTAATGGCATTTAGTTGTTGCCATATTCACACTGCAAGGTGTTTTCTAGTTTCATTAGTTGTTAATTAGTCATCGATTGATTGATTGATTCATTCATTCATTGACAATATTTGTCATGGTTCTCCCCTTTTGGAACTCTAAGTTTTTAGTTTTCAGTTATTAGTTATTCTGTGTTGTTGATCTTTGGTTTATTTTCCATTATATTCAAGCAGTAACTCTGTGTTGTACACTTGTGTTTGTTTCCTTTCCCCCTGGCTTCCTTCTACTTAGTTCCACTCACACCTGCTTCTCATTCAGCTCATTAGCCTAAACTTTGTTCTGTTCCCCTTATACAGGTGCTGGTCATAAAATTAGAATATCATGAAAAAGTAGATTGATTTCAGTAATTCCATTTAAAAAGTGAAACTTGTATATTATATTCATACATTACATACAAACTCATATATTTCAGATGTTTATTTTTGTTTAATTTTGATGATTACAAATGACAACAAATGAAAATCTCAAATTCATCATATCAGAAAATTAGAATATTGTGAAAAGGTTCAAAATTGATGGCCCCTGGTGCCACACTCTAATCAGCTAATTAACTCAAACCACCTGCAAAAGCCTTTAAATGGTCTTTCAGTCTAGTTCTATAGGCTACACAATCATGGGGAAGACTGCTGACTTGACAGTTGTCCAAAAGACGACCATCGACACCTTGCACAAGGAGGGCAAGACACAAAAGGTCATCGCTAAAGAGGCTGGCTGTTCACAGAGCTCAGTGTCCAAGCACATTAATAGAGAGGCGAAGGGAAGGAAAAGATGTGGTCGAAAAAAGTGTACAAGCAAGAGAGATAACCGCACCCTGGAGAGGATTGTGAAACAAAACCCATTCAAAAATGTGGGGGAGATTCACAAAGAGTGGACTGCAGCTGGAGTGAGTGCTTCAAGAACCACCACACACAGATGTATGAAAGACATAGGTTTCTGCTGTCGCATTCCTTGTGTCAAGCCACTCTTGAACCACAGACAGCGTCAGAAGCGTCTTGCCTGGGCTAAAGAGAAACAGGACTGGACTGCTGGTGAGTGGTCCAAAGTCATGTTCTCTGATGAAAGTAAATTTTGCATTTCCTTTGGAAATCAAGGTCCCAGAGTCTGGAGGAAAAGAAGAGAGGCACTTCGTCCACGTTGCTTGAAGTCCAGTGTAAAGTTTCCACAGTCAGTGATGGTTTGGGGTGCCATGTCATCTGCTGGTGTTGGTCCATTGTGTTTTCTGAGGTCCAGGGTCAACGCAGCCACATACCAGGAAGTTTTAGAGCACTTCATGCTTCCTGCAGCTGACCAACTTTTTGGAGATGCAGATTTCATTTTCCAACAGGACTTGGCACCTGCACACAGTGCCAAAGCTACCAGTACCTGGTTGAAGGACCATGGTATCCCTGTTCTTAATTGGCCAGCAAACTCTCCTGACCTTAACCCCATAGAAAATCTATGGGGTATTGTGAAGAAGAAGATGCAATACACCAGACCCAACAATTCAGAAGAGCTAAAAGCCACTATTAGAGCAACCTGGGCTATCATAACACCTGAGCAGTGCCACAGACTGATCGACTCCATGCCACGCCGCATTGCTGCAGTAATACAGGCCAAAGGAGGCCCAACTAAATACTGAGTGCTGTACATGCTCATACTTTTCATGTTCATACTTTTCAGTTGGCCAACATTTCTATAAATCCTTTGTTTTTATTGGTCTTCAGTAATATTCTAATTTTCTGATATGATGAATTTGAGATTTTCATTTGTTGTCATTTGTAATCATCAAAATTAAACAAAATAAACATCTGAAATATATGAGTTTGTATGTAATGTATGAATATAATATACAAGTTTCACTTTTTAAATGGAATTACTGAAATCAATCTACTTTTTCATGATATTCTAATTTTATGACCAGCACCTGTATACTCCACCTCTGCAGTCACTCAGTTGTTCCTTGTTGTTGTTTAGTTGCTTCCTCGTCCCTGGCCTCCCAAGTGAATTTTCTCTGGTGCGTTCTGGTTTTTTGGTTCCTAGTATTTTGTATTTTTGGATGTCTGCCTTAGTTTTTCATAAAACCAACAAGAACTCATCTCTGCTTCACTGCTCTCTGCATTTGGGTCCTGAAACAACCCCCAACCAAACCGTGACACTATTAATCTCATAGTGGAGAAATTTACACATGGATATCAAAGAGTAATTGCACATTATACATTGCACAAGTTATTGCCGTTGTAGGGTTGCATTGTACAGACTAGTTGAAGCAGGGATAAATGATCTGCGGTAGCACTCCTTTTTACAAACAGGGTGTAGAAGTCTTTCACTAAAGGA